AGAAAGCACCCGGGAGCGAGAGCAGATCCACACAGTTAACACGATCCTTCTTCTTGCAAAAGTGTCAGGCTGGACTGAATACAGGTTTGCATCCTACAAACTCACCTGGGTCTCACAGCATCTCCCAAGGCCCTGAACACAGTCACCTTCCATTCCCATCACTTCACTAACCAATCTTCAGTCAAAGAGAGGAAACAGAGTTTTGAGGCAATCTGGAGAATAACTGTTCGTCTATTACCTATTGACATCCTCCCTCACATTCAGGAACACGCTCAAGGCAAACCCAAGAATGGAATGACAAGGACCTCTGCCCACAATCAAGGGTTGCCCTGGAGTATACTGAAGCCCTCCCTGACAACTGTCAGGATCATGGAGTTAGGAGCACAGAATCTGAATTCTGGAAGCTTTTCCTTCCCAGATAGAGGCCCACAGGATGATTCCTTGACTGGTGTTTTTCCTTCGTTGACTTGATTTTCTTTTTTTATGTCAATAGTTCCCTTGGTTTCAAAGGAAATGGGGAGGGAAAACAACAGAGGCCAGGCATAGGCAGTTCTGTGCTACCTCACCCTAGAGAAGACTGCCTGTCCAAAGGAAAAACATGTGGCAGGTCTGAGAGGAAATAAATTCCCAAGGCAGATGCGGGCATGTCGTCCTGAGTGCTCGGGGCTTCCAAGAGAAAAGGCAAAAGCTGCTGGCGGGAGCTGCCCTAAGTAAGAAGCAGCTTGATGAAGGTGTCATAGGCACACCACCAGGTAAGCCACCTCTTAGGTGGGCCGCTTTTCAGGCATGCGCATGTCCACTGGTAATGGCAAAGACCTTCAGCCTATGCCAGGGAAACCCACAGAGTTCAGCAACACCAGCTGTTCCTAGTCCCTTTCACAAAAGTCAGGAGGCCTGAACACTGATCCTCACAATGCTACCCACCTAAGAACTCTATAGAAGAACAGTCCTTTGCAAGGAAAAATAAGGAATCCGAAAGTCACTGATGAGTTGTTGCTCACTGAAGATTTTTTTAATAGCCGAACAGTGTTCTTCTGTGATATATCCTCCAGAAAATGTACACACGTGGATAAAATATAACATGCTGTTAAGGATTACTCTAATTCAGCACTGCTATTTTCTGAAAATACTTGTTTAAAAACAGGTACTATAACTGGGGGGGGGGGTTCTATTTTAAGCAAGGAATAATGCTATTTTGCCTAAAAAACACTGGTCATTTCTAACCCAGCTTCAACGGGCAACAACAATCTTTCCACTACTAATGTCTGGCCTTTTCGTAGTCCATGCTCTGAGGAAGGAAACTCCTGCCCAGTTTTCTGACCAGCAGGTGAAGACACGCCTCTTTCTTTCCCATTCTCCCTCTCTGTAAAAAGACTCTAAATCATGCATAATTTCTATTTTCAAAAATCTAAATTGCAGAACTCCGTCTTTTCAGGGATTCTTGGAGCCTGCTTCGGCCTTTCGGAGAGCTCTGTTACATTTGGCCTAGATAGAAAGCCTGCATGCACCTGTGTGCTTCGTCTGCAGGCTCTCCCCAGCTCTGGGCCCTTTGTGGTTGTTATTCTACCCAAGACCATTAAAAGGGCCCTAATTCCTATGACATGATTATCCAGGTACCAAAGCCCATTTGTCACCTGCAGCAGAAAATTGAGTTAATGCACAACTAAAGGCAGCCAGGACTGTGTAATATCAACTTGATTACATCAAACTAGCTGCAAACCTAATTCTGCTGCATGACACTGCGTCAAGCTTGTCATCTCCAATCATTAAAGCTGTCAGGAATCCATCAGGTTTACAGCTAATTAGGTGAACACTAATGAAGCTGGCAAAACAACTTTTCTTTTTTTATGGCTGAGCGGACCTTTCAGTTTGGGGGGGGGGGTTGGATTCTCGAGTATTCTCAAGGTTGCTGTGGACAGGATTTCCAGTCACCAATCAGCAGACATCTTTCTTTTTCCCACTGTCTCTCTATCCGTACAAAGCCATCAATTTGTCATCACTCCCAGGATGTCCCAAAAGCCGCTGTGGGAACTGAAAAAGGAGGGAAACAGAAGTTCCTAGTCCATCCATCCAAACAAGCCAACGAAACAAAACGGCACCTCACACAGCTCACTTACTGGCCTGCGCGCACTCAGAAGCAGCCTAAATGTGGACGGGTTTTGTGTGGAGCTCTTCAGTCATGCTGCACCCCTCCTCCACACGTCCATTAGGCAGAGGCATTCTGATAAAGTAAATCCAAAACCAGGGTATGAGAAAGAATGAAAGCACTCATTCTGCCAACTTCTGATTGACCATTAAGCTATTGATGAATGTGCCTGTCAGGAGAGAGACAATTAAATCAAATATGAAACAAAGTCGTTTTGACGGGTCATTTTGATAGAGCAAAGCCATTCTTCCATCTCCCATTCGTCCTGCAGTCAGGTTTTTATATAATGAATTTTCCTTAACTGACCTGAGATTTCCTGGCTGGCTTAAAAGTGCAAAAAGGTTAGTGAACAGGTTGCTTTACAAAAGAATAATAAAATGAGTAAAAATCAAACTAACAGCACATTTGAGAAACTTGTCATATGGACAGGGTGGAACAGTAAAGCCAAACTACAGAGTTCAAAATCACATGGAAAGATGCAACCGCATATGCTTCATTGGATGGAGGCACAGATACCTTAAAAAATGTGTACCCAAAAAGGAAAGAAAAAAAATCACAGACTGGAAGAAGCCCAAGACATTCCTACTACCCAACTTTGTAAAGGATGCCTCCAAAGTTTCAGAGTTTATTTTGGGGAGATAAGCTCACTGCTAAAGCCTGGAATTTAAAGGAGGAGGTGGGATGAGCAGGCAGCATCAGTGAGGAGGTGATCTCTCTGTTGGGATCTTCAAACTTTCTAAATGTGGGTAACACCGAAAACATGCAAGCATTCATGCACCAAACCAAGTTTAATCCCTCCTAAGCTTTCTTCACAACACTGACAGGCCAGTACACTTCTGGGAGAAGTTCCTTCTCAGTGACCCTGATAAAGAGACTGCAGGCCAGAGTACAGCTGAGGTGGAAGCCAAGCTGGTCTGATGGTCATCACCATCACCACTAGCCTAGGTACCACCATCTTCAGCCTGGGTACCAACAGCACGCAGAACATTACCTCGGTGACCCTTCTCTCAGCCCTCCCCTCTTCTATCAAAAGAGAATTGAAAGGGAACAAGACTGAAGAAAAGGACTCCTAAGCAACCCTCCCCTTCAGGCAGCATCTGAGCCTCAGCATGTCCGAATGTTACTCATATCAAAATACATCACGTCCATATGTGGTCCTCTCTCAGCAAGCCGCCCCAAATCCCTGAAGTTGCACTGACAGAGCCCTCCTGACGTCATGGAGCTTGGCCTCACTATTGCAAGTGATTTATTGATGTTTATTGGGAATGAATAGATCAAAGGCACAGGCATGACGGGCGATCAATCAGTCATCAAATCAAGGGTGGCAACCGGCCAGAAACCCTTCTTCCAGCCAACGTGCCCCTAGCCGACATTATTGCAAAATAATGTTATGTGTGTGGGTTTTGTTTTATTTTCAATGATTCTTTTTTCCAGAAAAAAAAAAAAAAAGCAGCTCAGTCCTAACAGAAGTTGACGTTCCTGGTGGAAAAGGGGGGGGGGGGGAGTACTCAGATACGTCCCAGAACTAAGTGCTAGAAGAGGGTAGAGAACAGCAGCGGAAAGAGAGGGAGGGGGTAAGAAGATATTCACGAGTGGAGGGAATGTCAGCATCCAACACTGACCTGACAGTCATCTGACAATACCCAGACCCTGTGCGCTCTGGTTTCCACCGCTGTACCGGGTTTGGGCCCAATAAATGAAGAATCAATCGAATTAGCAGTAAGGTGGCCAGAGGGATCGGCTAGCTCACTCTCTGGATAGCTCTCGTCCGGATAGGCACCGGGTAGTACCCAGGACAACACGGAAGGTGTCCCAGAGAACTCAGGTGACCCCGCCCGCCCCCCCCCCCCCCTCCACCGAAAGACACGGGTTGAAGAGCGCCTTCCCTGCTGCAGCCAGAGCGGCGGAGGTGGAGATCTAGCCCAGCTCGGTAGTCTCCGGGAGGGTGTGCGAGCGGGTTGAGCGGAGAGCGTAGCGGGGCAACCGGGGGCGCGCGCACCCAGGCAGGAAAGCCACGAGCAGACCGGGCTCCCGGAGTTACTCTGCGCCCGCATAGAAAGAGAGGGAGAGAAAGAGGCGAGGAGTGCGGCCAGCAGCGCGGGGGCCGGCAGCCCGGAGGCGCGGCGCGAGCAGAGGAAGAGGAGGAGGACTGGAGGAGGAAGGGGAAGCCGCTCGTACCTGCTGCGCGCCGGGGCGCCTGCTGCTTCCTCCTCGGCATGATGCTTCTCCCGCGACTGCCGCCGCCGCCGCTGCCGGGCTGAGCCGAGGGAGGGAGGGGCGGGGGGGGGGGGGGCGAGGCGGGCCTGCTCGCAGCCTCCCCCCCGGAGAGCGGCCGCCCGCAGGATGCTGCTGCGCCCCGGCTCTCCGCGTCCCCCCCTCGCTGCGCTCCGCCGCGATCCCCGAACGTGCGGAGGGAAGGAGGGCGGGCGAGGGAGGCGCGGGGAAGGAGGAGCGCGGGGGGAGGAGGAGGAGGCAGAGGAGGAGGAGGAGGACCACGCTGCCGGCGGAATGGGAAGTTTGACAAATCGCTCCAGAGGCCCGAAGAGGAGGGGGCGGGGAGGAGCGGTCGCCCTCCCCCCCACCCCCGCCCCGTCCCTAGACGAGGTGCGCGGGGTTCGGGGCTGGAGGGCGGGGAGAGAGGGAGGGGAAGGCGGGCAGAGGGATGAGAGGAGGAGCCCGCGAGCGACCCCGGCCGGTCCTGCCCCGCTTCCCGCCCCCAGACAGGGAGGTCAAGGCATCCGGGGGTGGAGGTGTTGGGGGTGGGGGGGTGCAGCCGCCGCCGCGGCCCGGGGCTCAGCGGTCCAGTCTTCTGCCCACGGCGCGGCTGGAGCGGCGGCGTCGGCAACAGGCAAGCTTAAAGGAAAAGGAGATGATCGTGTCACTAGCCTGCCCGCGGGGGCGCCCCCAGCCCCGGCCCCGATGCTTGCCTAGGACCCCCGCCCAAGTCCAGCCACCCAGAGCCGGCCCTCAGCCTCCGCCCCGTGCGCTCACGCAGGGGAGCGGGGCCCGCCCAGCAGAGCCCGTCCGGGGGAGCCCGCAACCCCCACCCAACCCTCCTTCCCTACCCGGGCTTGTCCCGGGGCCGCTCCCGACTGCCCCTCCCGGCCCGCACTCCTCTCCACCCGCCGCGTGCAAAGCCTCAGAGCGCTCCCCAGCTCGGGATGGTGCCCCTACAAAGATCCCAGGGCCCCGGGGCGCACCAGAGAGAGGAGGCACGGGCTACCATGGGTGTGGGCCCTGGGGCTCTTCTCCTGGGACCCTCCGTGGCTACTTCTCTCTGGTTTTTTTCCCCTAGGCAAACTTTCCCAGGCGTGTTTCGGGGGCCAGCATAGGAGGGGGCACCTTCAAGTTTCCTTTACTGACTTTGGGATGATCACAGTCTCAGCACCCCGCGTCTTGCCCCCTTAGGCTCCTGGCCGCGCCCCCCACCCATGGCGACAGCGGGTTTCAAGGCGGGACGGGGGCGGCAAAAGAAACTCGGACTCCCCTGCCCATCCCCCGCCGGGGCGCGTCCTAGACAGGGGACCACCCCAGCCGCGCCGGGTTTAGGGGCAGTTCTGGATGAAGGGGGATTGATTATTGATTGGGTGATTGGGGTTGCAGAGGCTCCAGGCGGACCCGGCCGATGCGCCTAGGGAAGGAGGCAGCTGGCGGGGTTGCGTTGGCGACAGGGCAACGAGGGCTCACTTACTCTGGTGGTGAGGGCGCCGGTAGGCTGGAATTCACGCGGGCGACCCTCGGGCGGCGGCGGTGGAGCGGCAGCCAGAGCCCGAGCGGCGCGGGCGGCGGCGCATCGATGCGCTGCGGGCTCGATTGCGTCTCCCTGGGCCAGCTCTTAGGCCGAGAATGGGGCGGCCGTGGCGCAGCGGGCTCAGGGCGCTGCTGGGCGGTGGTGGCTAGGGTGGCCTCTGGGCCCCCAGCTCCCCGGAACTGCAATGTGTCTGGGAGCGCTGGCCGGGACCCTGGCACCCATGCGAGCCCCGAGGCCCACAGTCCACCCGAGGGCCCGCGCCCTGCGCCCCAGGACTAGCCGCCTGAGCGCACTGGAAGCTGCAAGCCCTGGCCTTGCTTTCTGCTACTTCTTCTTCTTCTTCTTCTTCTTCTTCTTCTTCTTCTTCTTCTTCTTCTTCTTCTTCTTCTTCTTCTTCTTCTTCTTCTTCTTCTTCTTCTTCTTCTCCTTCTTCTTCTTCTTCTTCTTCTTCTTCTTCTTCTTCTTCTTCTTCTTCTTCTTCTTTTCTTATTATTTTGAACTTATTCTTCTCTTCCCTCCTCTTCAGCTCTGTCTCTTTTCCATGCTTTCTTGTGGTTGCTTTTTCAAGTTTTGAAAGTTCACAGCGTGCTTTCTTTTTCTTGTAGACCTGGAGACCAAGATCTCACCCTACCGGTAAGATCAAAAGTCTCCGCTAGCCACCGACCGGCGGGCTTGGGCTGGGTCCAGACGCCTGCCTGAATGCAGAAGTGCGGCTGCTGCCCTCCGGGGCTATAAAGCCCGCTCCAATGCCTAGTCGCGCCGGAGCTCTCTGAGTTAAACTGGTACGGATCCCGGGTGGAGCAGAGAGCCCGAGGCGAGTTGAGGCCGGGCTCCCGGGCTGCCTGTGTGTGGGGCGTACTTGTGGGTGGAAACAAACCCGGAGCGCTTGGTGCTTGTGACCGCAGAGACTGAAGCTGCGTTTCCTCCAGGCCGGGGAGACGCGGCCCCAAGGGCGCGTAACGCTTCTTGCGAGCGAGGGATCGGTGAGTCGACTGGCCCCGCCGTTGGCCTCACGGTTCAGTTGGCCACGGGGCCCCTTTTGCCTGGAGGAGGGTCGTTGCCGCTGGAGGTCAGACCCCGAAGGTCCCCAGCTCACGTTCCAAGAGCGGAGCACCCATTTAGGCACGCCGGCGGCGACGTGCTTACAGCACTGGGTAACACGCACCGGGAGTTTGCCCAAAGGATGCTTCCCTCTCCCTTTCCTTCCCTTTGCTGCTCTCTCAACCTTCGTTCCTTCACCGTGCACCCCCTCCCCGTGCCGCGGCCTAAGGGCTGGTCCCCTTGTTGACTGCCGGCCCCCTTGCTTGCCAGTGCCTAGCCCTCCCTGCTCAGGAACGGCGCGCTGTGTGATCCGCCCTAACATCTGTCCGTCCAACCATTGGCGCATCCATCAGTGTCAATGGGCTGCACATTGCAGCGACAGCCTGTCACGCACAACTCGGGCTGTGCGGAGTGCACACTGAGACCACACTGCCTTGCCCGGTGGGGCACTCAGACAGACTCGGCCGGCTTGGCATTGACTGGATTCTTGATTGCTGCTGAGTTCTTTTAGCTACATGCACCTATTCACCCTTAATTTGGGGATCTCAACACATGCATAGTTTTTCAGGTCATTCTAGGGATGAAAGTGAGGAAAGTGCGCAAGGTCAACCTAGTCCTTATATTTCACTAGGGTTTATCTTCGCTTCTGCGGCAGCGCTGGGTGTAACTAAAAGAGAAAAGTTCTCCAAATTCGCACAAAATAGACCCTGAAACTACCTGAATGCGGGACCTTAAGTCCCTCAACCTGGGCTAGGTGCTAGGTTATGGAGTTCACCCACTGCACTTAGCAAGATTTCAAAAGGGGGTGGGGACAGCTTTGCGTAACCGGGGCTGACTGCTGGCTGCTTCCCAGGGCCTGACCGGGAGAAATGCAGACCGATGGACTCAGTGAAAACTGAAGGGTTCCATTTAGGGAGAAATGGCGTCTGGGTAGCAGTGAGTCTGTAATTCATTTATCATTACCAAAAAAAAGGGCAAGACCTTGAGAAACCGGCGCTTGCAGATAGTTTCTGGCTACCTGGGCTACAGTTTCGAGTTCTCCCTATTGTACTTCTTTGCTTTCCGCTCCTTCTGCAACTACCCAAATGGTAAACACACACACACACACACACACACACACACACACACACACACACACACACACACACACACACACACAGGTGTCCCTGATGAGTCTGGCCCTCCCCAAGGCCTTCTGTTTGCTCTAAGAACCTCAGGGGAAGGGCATGTGCAGGTTTCTACTCCTATGACATCTGAATGAAGTCTACCCGGCATTTAACCTGACTTTATTATTATTGTAAATATTTCTGTCGACTGTCCTGCCGGCAAACAACCCTTCCGGCAGTTCATATCGCGGTTAGGGAATTCCGAGGGGGAAAGAGCCCCGTTCAGGCTAGCGCTGTTTGCTGGGTTCTGGAAAAGGTCAGGAAGCATTGGGCAGGCATGCTCGGGAAAGTAGCCTGTGCAGCAGGGTCTAGGCTCCACACACAGCGGTCCAGCTGTTTTCACACTCTACTAGAGGGCAGAAAAGCCCGTGGGTGGAGGAGATAGAATTTTGTAAAGGATATACGATGTATAAAACGTTTACCCGATTCTTCATAGAAACTCGGTTATCTTTTAAAAGCACAACAGGCTTTCAGTCACCTAGGAACTTCTGATCCGCTTTGAATTGTGCTGGGTTGTAAGTGTCTAAATCAGATACTTCTACCTCGAGGTGCGGAGTTTCCGGGAATAATTTCTTAAGCCCCTGAAATAGAAGGAGGAAGAAGGAGCTGAAGGAAGTGAACCAATTCACCTAAACACCCAGTGGCAAAAGCCCATGAAACTGTGAGCTGGCATCTGGGTCAGAGACTTGCCTTGGAATTAGGTGGTCATATATATTATTAGCCCTTCCCACTCCCTGCAGCCAAGAAGGCAATCCTGATCACCAAGACTGTATTTCAGACTCAGTGGAAACCAGGTGCTCCACTGTCTCCAGATGGGCAACAATCTGCAGAAACCTTCCAAAGAGAGTTGTCTAGGTCAAGGGTTAGACATCCTACCCAGCTTTTCCAATTTTTGAGCCTTGGATTTCCGTTCCTGGGACCTTTTTACCATAGGTCTCACCCACCTTGGCTAGCCTGAGCCTCCTTGAGGGTAGGGTATTATCAATTACAGGCATGGCTCAAAACAAGTGTTTGGAGGAGCAAGGGGCTGACCCCCAGCACAGTATACTGTTTATAATTATACCGTGGAAAGTAGTAGCTTGGCCACTGCCTGGAGACAGCCAAGTTTGTGTTCCAGGTGGCCACTGAGGACAGTTAGATGACAGCCCCCCTGCTCCAGCAAAAGCTAGGGTGTGTCTTCAGTGGAGTGCCCACCAAGAGGTGTCCTGCATACCACCATTCTAGGGAAGGAGCTAGGATTGACTGGTGTCCCTGAAACACCTAGAGCCTAAACTCTGACCTCAGAAGGGGGGTACTTGCTGGGTCCATGAAAGTGTCACCTTGAAGGACAAGGACTCTGGAAGCATTTGGTGATGGCATGGGCCTTTGGCAACACCCCAGGGGTGGGCCTTGACCCAGAGTCCAGCACTAGGTCCTCTCCAGCCTGAAGTGGTTGGGAAGCCTCATGGACCTGCTTTTCCCCTCACTTTTCTGGGTTAGGCAGTGATTGGGAAGTGCCATAGGTCCTGAGACTCCTACTGCTTACACACCTCAGCCTGGAAACTGGGCTTTAGTCTCTGATAAAGTTGGAGGTTAGGGCCTGAGGCAGGCAGTAAATTGTTTGCTAAAGGTACTTTTACACAGCAGTGAAGTTTGCTTCTCTTTTTCCAGTAGCTTTGTTTTAAGAAACCAGATGTTTTGTCTGTGAATTCTCTCAAGAACTTTTACAGTTTGGACATGAAATAAACCTTTGAAAATTGGGGCGGTATATTAATGCCACTTCTCTCAGGCTTCTGGAGAGTGGTGTCAGATGCATTGGGGAAGAAATTAAGGGTGGGGGGTGGCAATCTTGGGAGAAAAGTAAGAGAATGGTTTTATGCAAAATCAAGAATTAGTTTGGGAAGTGCGAAGCACTTACTTTCCAGAGCCAACAGTAGTGGTATACACTGTACTCACACGTGCAGGCACACTCCCCAACCCCGTCATGGTATGGTGTCTAGTTTGCAAATGTCTTATGTCTTGGGACTCGGAGGTAAAGGCTCAGCTGCACCTACATGGCCAATGCAAATCTGCAGGTTTTCAGCTGAACTTCTTGACTTGAAGAACAAAGGGCTGATGAGCTTCCATCTCCTGTAGCCTTGATGCTGGTGACCAGTCCAGCTGCGGATGGGATGCAGATGGGGCAGGTTGGAAGCATGTTGACTAGAGGAGGAGTTCGGTTACAAATTCCAGGGATGACGCCTCCCCACCCCAAGAAAGCTTGTGCCTGCAGGTTTCTCTTCTAGTTGCTTCATCCCCATTCCCCATCCTTGATTCCCAGGCAGTTAGCAAAGCATTTAAAGAAAAGCAAAACAAAAACTAAACCTAACTTAGCAGCGGAACAGAAGGTGAATGATTAGGGTGGTAAAGGGTCTGGGCTTATGCAGGCAGCCTAGTTACCCACAGTGCCTGTGGGGGGGGGGGTTGGGGGGGAGGCGATTCCTTCTCCCTCCTCCCCACCCTACCGTCCTTCCTGCATACTCAGCAGGGCATTTTCAGACACCTCCTTTTTCTTCCGAAATGCTTTTTCATTCGTTTACCAAAGTTTCAGAAAACTTTTTGGAGACCAAAAATTAAATAAAGAAAACAAAAGGTCTTTGTATTTCCGTCTAAAGAGGACAGAACTGCATTAAGCCCATTTGAAGAGCAGTTACCAGTAAAATGCCCTTCGGTCAGGTCCCACCTGCGGACTTGGGTTCTAAGGTGGAATTTGCCCGAATCTCTCCTACGTCATTGCAAGCTCCCTCTCCAACTCCACTGGGTGAAATAGATTTCTAGAAACTGTTTGGACATTTTAAAAACCAACAAAACCCATGTTAAAGATCGCCGTCGCCAGCCACAGTGGGACTCGCTCCTAGCTAGGAGTGAATAGCTCCTTGATGATGGTGTTGCGGAGATGCCCACCTGCTCCCGCGCTGCGGTGAGAGCTCCCGGATGTTAGTGACTTGATGCTGGTCTGAACCCCGGCTCTTCGAATAAAGGAGGAAGAGGTCCCAGCAGTCAAAACACCCGGTCATCGAGGACCAAACAGCCCACCTTCCTTCCAGATGATCTCATTAACTGGCCAGGGAATTTACCAGACCACGAGGAATCTCGTTCCCTTTTCTCTCTTCCTACAGCGCTCCTCTTTTCTGTTTAATTCGTGATGATGTCTGACTGTTTCCACTTCCCAAACGGGGAAGACCAAACATAGCACTGAATAAAGGCAGGTAAAGCGGGGCAAGGGGCTCTATTCTTTTCTCCTTTATATGTCTTGAAACTTGATAAATATCACTTGTATTTGGACGATAGGGGGCCGGAGGGTCAGATTATGTAATATTCAAGTGGTGTCTGGCCCCAGGGGCTCTTCCGTCTAGAAGATCTAAAGATCTACTCACACCCTTCACAGAAACCCTTACTAAATTTTGTCTGCTGTTTTCTGTCTTCTGTCTCTTGTATTTTCCTCCTCCTTTCTCCTTTTCTGTTTTTCTGTTCTGTTCTCTCTTTCGGAGAGCCCTTCCTGGACCGTCATAAGAATTCTCAGGTTATTCATTTAGGGTCTGTGAGTTCTTCTCCCCAAGTCAAAGCTTAGCTGTCCCCACCCAGTGCACCAGTTCTGAAGGAACTAACTAGTTTGTAGCTTTTGGGGTGGGGGTGGGGGGACTAGAGGAAGGTCAGACACTGGTCGACACCTGGTATAAAATAAAAGAACATGTTAAGAAGTTTCAAAGCTGCCAATAAAACCCTTTAAGTGGCTTGTGATGCAGTGCCTGGAGTTGCTGCGATGGCATTGGTAAATGACTCTAATGTCCAAAGAAAAACATTACAAATGCCGCTGTCTGCGCCACCAATCGGGCGCCGCTCTCCAGCGCGGGCGGTGGCTCCTCTCTGGCTCGGAGGGCACCCGCATTTGCATGATAAATTGACCAGACTGGCGGCAGCCAATGAAATATTCAAATTAGGCGCGCGGGGGGTGGGAGTATGGCAAAGTCCCTGGGGCTCCCCCTTTGAGCAGACAGCAGAAGCTGGCCTTGCCACCTCTCCTTTAGCGCCCTCCAGAGGCGGGACAAAGCGTGGCCCTTCTGGGACAGGAGGGTGGGAGGGTCTCGGGGAAGGGAGGTGGTACTCTACAGGTGCTCTTAGGCACAGGAAGGCTTTGGGGCTGGCCTAGTGGATTAGCAATGGCATAGAGCCTCTACCCTAGGCTTAAAGCAGTAGGAGCGCAAAAGCAGGTGGTGACTCTCAAGGAGCTTAGGTCGGCCCTCGATACTTTTATAATAGTGTTTTTGCTGTGCTGGCCCTTGGCTCATCTCAGACCACAGCTGACTTCCCAATGCCAACATTCTGGAGCAGACACGTCTAACCTGCCATGAGGGGAGGATTCCATACCAACAGGCCGGGCAGGTCGCCCAGCTTGGAGCTATGCTAGACTCTCAGGCTTCACCAGGCCTGGGACTTCCGACTGTGGCCTGCTGCAGCAGCTTTGCTCCTGGGAATGGAGATGCAGGCTCCACCCAGATGCTGGCAGGAGCCTCAGCAGGCGGAAATCACCTGGACAGAGACATTAGTGAAAAAGCACCCAGGCTCAAGGCAGCCCCTATGAATGTGTACAAAGGGGATCATGTAAATTGCTAGTCAGCACGTAGAGGCCCCGCAAGGGGATATGCAAGAGAGTGTAAAGGGAACCAACTTTAAAACAGAACTGCCCTTGGTGACCAAGGAGTATTTGATTTCTCAGGCGCCTAGCAAGCCGGTCTTCTGGTCTAGCTACAGACTAATCTTCAGCATCTTCCTACCCCATGCCAGCCTTAACCTAAGAGTTAGCACTGTACTCTGCTGTGGAGTGATGAGCACTTTATCCCCTCTCCCACTCACAAGGCTCTGTGTTGCCCCCTACCCCCTAGTTACCCTAGACCGTACTTAATCTCCAGCCCTTTCCCCAGTCCACAAGCGTCTTTATGGGGTTATGTGAACCCCCTTTAAGCACTTTTCCCTAGACATGCTCAGCAGAAGTCAGCTGTTTACAACTGTCCTCCCTGGCCGTCAACCAAGGAGTCTCTGGGCATGCAGGAGCCTAGCCTCCTGATCCAAGGCTGGATCAGTAACTGTAAGGACCCCAAGCAGTAAGTTTGACTTGCTGTCTTACATCTGTAATCCTAGCACCCTGAAAGCTAAGGTAGGAGGATTGAGAGTTGGGGCTAGCCAAACGAACAAACCCAAGGAAAAATGGTAGGTACCAAAAAATCTGGGAAAGAGTTAGTTTGATTTTGGATCACTTGGCAGGTTTTTATCTCCATCCTCAAAGTAGGGTGTCCAATGAGAGGGGACTACCACATGAGCCCTTCCTGTCATTCAGGGTTTTAAGGAGTGTTGACTAAAGAGAAGAGGTTCTGATCTTGGGCCTGGTGAGAATGAATATGGCACACAGCTGGTAGCAAGAGTTGGTTCAAATACAAAAGGGCATTTTCTCAAACACACTGCTAGCTTGTGTGTTTGGGGAGTTTCCACAAAGGAAGGCCTGGGAAGAGAGTGTCCCTATACCTGGCAGATGGGTCAATCTTGACCATGTCTCAGAAAGTCCTTCCTTAATCATGCTCAGACCTCAGCTGTGGGCCAGGAAAGCTAAGTCTTGTGGATGGGTCTTGATCATCCTGCATCGCTGAAGTTTGTCATACAATCCCTTCTATAAATTCGAGCAGCTAAGTGGAAAGGTAGGAACACAGAGGGTGCCTCTCCAGTCCAGCCCTGAGCCTTCTCTCCTCTGAACCATTTACAATGAACAAGCCACTCAGTTCCTCTTAGAAGGCATGATCTGTATTTATACTCACTTGCACCTATTCTTGGCAAGTGAGTGCAAGCTTTGGAATTAATAATGGGAGGCTGGCTAGGTGGTCCACAACTCACCTAGTAACAGCTCTCTCTATCTGAAGCACCTGGGACCTAAGGAGAAAAACCCTCATCAAAGTGGGAGATACTCACATGCTGGAGCTTTCAAGATCAGCTCCAGATGTGAGAGAGGTACATAGAAGGTACTTTTCAGGGGCTCCTATGGGTGCATGCATACCATTGGCTGGTTGAAGAGCCTGGTATATACTAGTCAGCCATCTCGTGGTGGTGCCCCTAAAGCCAGCATGAGAACTACAGTCCCAGCCAGGGTCAGACTTTCCAGACAGGCAAAGGATACAAGCATGAGTGTGGAGCAGGGAAAGGGAGAAAGGGAGAGTTATGAAAGGCAGGCTCAAGTCTCCCTGCTTCAGGGAAGAGCTGGGGGCCTTTGCAGAGCTGATAAGGAGGCTCCCTCAGACCTTTCTAGGCACTCATTAGAGGAAGTGCTTTGCTAAGGATCCAAGATGATATTTCTATTTTCCCTCTTAGCAGCGAATGGAATTTGCACCATCCAGGTCAGATGGAAAATAGGAGCTGGGAAAATTTGACACTCTCATTGATTTGCTCTCCTCGCGAGAGAGGAGTATGACTTCAAGATTGCAATTAGGAGCCAGCCTGCTAAGGGGTTCCTCTCCTGAGCTCAGGTGCTGCACAGATCGTGGATTGCAGGTCCTGCCCCTCATCTCCTGAGGAGGACTTAGCTTCCTTTATGGTTCTGAGCTGGAGCTGAACCTGCCGGAGCTCCCAAAGATTACCTGGGTCTTTACTCTCGTTTTTGGTCAGGCCTTTGAGCAGATGGCAATTTTTCCAGTGTTTTAAAAGTATTAACTTCCTTTCAAACATTCTTTAACCTTTAATGTTTTGTAACTTGATGAAAAGGTCACTTTGTTCTGAGGATGCACCTGTCCCTTAATTATTCAGCTATAGGTGATTTCTACCCAAATCCTCAACTTTTCTTTTTTCTTTTTTTCTTTTTTTTCCCTAGGGGTGGGTGGGTGTGGGCAGTTGCTGAGAGTGAAGCCTTGTACATGCTAGGCAGGTGCTCTACAGCTGAGTTACTGGTAAATTCTAAGCAAGTACATCCTTGCCCCTAATTCACACACACACACACACACACACACACACACACACACACACACACACACACCTGGAGATATGGCTCAATGGTTAAGAGCACTGACCTGACTGCTCCTCCAGAGGACCTGGGTTTATTTCCCAGCACTCACATTGCAGCTCACAACCATCTGTAACTCAATGCCCTGTCTGATCTCCTTGGGCACCAGGTGCTCAAATGGTGCACAGACATATATGTAGGCAAAACATCCATACACATGAAATTAAAAGAATCATTACATATCTATCTATCTATCTATCTATCTATCTATCTATCTATCTATTTGTGTGTGTGTGTGTGTGTGTGTGTGTGTGTGTGTGTGTGTACACATTATGCATATGGAGGTTAGAAGGCAACTTGTAGGAATCAGTTCTCTCCTTCGATTGTGTGGTCCTTAGGATTGAACTCGGGTCATCAGGCTTGGCAGCAAGCACCTTAACCCACTGAGCCACCTCACCACTTCCGTATCCAGCCCCTGATTCTTTATGGGATCCAAACCATGCATATACATGTAATACAGACCAATATTTTCCCACTAAATCTGTATATCTATGGACATGCATGTTTCTATTTGTATTTATACAATTATATTTTGCACATGTGTGTTCATATACATTTGTATTTGAAGGTACTCTATATTTGCATTTGCATATATTTATATTCATATAACTTATATGCAGGGAATTGGGTTTACATGGATACGTCAGTATTCCTATACAACTTCTTTATAGGAAAATAGATACATGATTTGCTTGCCTGAATGATGAGTTTCATTTGATGGCCACCACTTATTATAAGTGTTCCTCACTTTTAAAAACGATTTAGACAATGTCCAAACAGGGTCTCACTGTGTAGCCCAGGATGGCCTAGAGCCTGCCAGGTGTGTCCAGCCTTTTGATTGGCACACGTTGTCATCTACAAAGTTCATGCCTGAGAACCACAGAATCGGGTTCCACAAAGGAAAACAAAACTTGGAAAACAAATTTCATAATGTTTTAAGTAAGTTTACAGTTGTGTCAGGGCCGCTGTGATTCTTTACTCAGCTGTGATCTGTTTCAGGTCAGACATACCTTGGAGACCTAGAAACACTAAGAGGAACTGGTTCTGAGTGCTGGCATTGAAGACATGCACCGCTGTGTGCTGGATACATAGCCTCAGCTTCCCGCAGCCCCCTCTCCTTCATTCTTATCTTTCCAAGCTGATGTGTTCTTGCAAACAGAGGCCCAAGTGTGTTAGACTTATATTTAAAATATAAAAGGAAGTTAGTAGGTTCAGGTGAAGAGGTTTTTCTACATGGAAACTACACAAAGCTCATGTTCAGACCCTGCAGAATGTGTTTACTTGTTCAAGAGGTGATGGGTGTGGCACCTTAAACCTCTTCTCTGAGGTTTTTAGATGAGAAATCTCCAGGCAAAGAGAAGCTGTTGGATCCTGGCACTCACCTTAAGTCGTTGTAGACTTGTATAAGAATAAATCTGCTCTAAGCTATGTACTAAATCATGAAGAGCACTCTGTAAGATTAACATTCATTAAGTGCAAGAGACAGAATTGATACTTAACTTAAAAGCATATACCTTTAAAAGGTCTCTGGGTGCAGGAAAGGTGAGGAATAGCAGCAACAAGCCTTGGAGAACAAGCTTGGTGGTCTCTCCTGGAAAACATCGTCTCAGGATTCATCACCTGGAATGGTTTCTTGCACATTCCTGACCACTAGATGTTTTTCTGCATTTCCGTTGGTTCATTGCTGACTTCCTGTATCTTTGTGGGAGACACGTCACAAATGCAGAGGAGCAAAGAATATTTCTAAAACATTCTCCCAGCACCAGGGAGGCTGACACAGGAGGATGGTGAGTCCAAAGAGAGCCTGACACACACAGTGACTATATATGCATACATATATGATGAAAGTTAAAGAAAAAAATGTATAGGATTATTTAGATCATATGCAAATATGATTAAGCTAAATAAATAAGAAATAAAACTTTTCTGTTCTCAGATAGTAGTCACAGAATTCGAACAGGTGAGGCAGGAGGATTGCAAATTTGAAGCCAGCTTGAGCTACATTGTGAAACCCTGTCTCAGAACTATGGGGAAGAAGTTTTAAACAACAATGAGTTCTTGCTGTAGTCATCCTTGAAAGTCCCTTCTGGCTCCTGCTAATTCCAGTCCTCACTTCCTGGAGGGCACTGGGTACCTCTATCCTTCTCCTTGTCAGTTTCCACACTTAGATAAAAATGGAATGACACTAAACGGATCATTTGGTATTGTGTCTTTTACTCAGTAGTGTTTTAAGACTCAACTATGTGGTCATATATAGCTGATTTGTTTTCAAATTTTTATACTATGACTACATTAAAGTATATTAGGCATTTCTATTTTTTTCTTTTCAAGGGCCCATGATTTTAAAAAACATGCCAGCTAGACATCCTATATATTTGTTATCTCAGAATTCTGTAGTAAGATGATTTTGAGTTCTAGCCTGGCCTGGGCAGCATGCTACACAGACCCTGTCTCTGGAAATGGGGAACTGCAACTCTCTGTGAGAATGCACACACTCCAGCATGTATATGCAGTGGTGCAGTTGCTGGATGGCAGAGCACAAGTGTCCAACATCGTTCTCTAAAGTGGCTGTCTATTTCCCACAAGCAGGTTTGCAGTGCCCCGGCTCTTCGTCCTTGTCAGCAGGAGGCATTTTTAGCTGTGGTTTTTCTTCTTAGTACTTCTGTATCTGGTGGTCATAGCTGCCATTTATTGATGCATACATTTCTCCCTATGATTTGTAGTGAGTTTGAACACTACCTGTTTCTATTTTTGATCATTTGGATTTGGGGGCATGTTCAGTTCCTCTTCTTGTCTTCTGTTAGATATATGTTTTGTATTAATCTTGTTTTTTTCCTTTTCTTTTTTTTTGGCATGAGGTAGAGGGGGTGGGACTTGTTATCTCATCTCATACTTCCAGATAACAGTCCATCACTGAGAGAAGTCAGGGCAAGAACTACAGTACATGAAAGAACCATGGAGGAAAGCCTCCTGCTGGCATTCTCTCGAGCCTCTGCTCAGCTAGCTTTCCACATGAATATATAATTTATGACTATTATTATTATTATTATTTCTTTGAGACTTTCATAAACTGTGCTTGGATCGTACCCATCCCTCTCCCCCATCTCCTCGCAGGTCCACTCCGCATTTCCACATTTCATACCCACCCAGCTTTGCATCGTTACTTCCTTTTAAACCTATCCAGTTCTCTCAGTGCTGTCTGTGTGCTCAGAGGTGTGCGGCAATCCACTGGAATGCTAGACCTCCCAGGAGTCACACACACCCTAAAGGAAACTAACTCCCCCTCTCCTAGTAGTTAATAACTACCAATAGCTCCTGAGCTAAAGGTGAGACTTCATACTCACCATTTCAGGAAAATCCTTTATTGTCCAGTTCATCTTAAGTTGACCTCTTCAGAGACACTTCAGTAGATCCTAGGTTGCAACCCAAGAATTCTCCAGTTTACACATATTCCAGCCCCCTAGGACATAAGGATACAATATGTCATGGTAAATCCCAGGTCCTGACTCAGCTTCATCAATAGGAATCTAGTTTCATACCTCCTCATGCTCCCCTCTGTCTCCAATATTATCTCACTGTATGGATGCTTCATCTCAAAAGAGCAAGTGGACTTCAAACATGAAATAGGACTCTGTGAGTCTGTGTCCATATCCAACAGGAGGAGAATGAAACAGTAATGATGTAGATAAGAAAATAAAAACTTTTCCATTCTTGCTAGTCCTAGTATTCAAGAGGCTGAGGCAGGAGGTTTACAAATTTGAAGCCAGCTTGAACTCTGTAGTAAAGCCCCACTCCCCACAAAATAATAAAAATTGGCTTCTCAAATAACCTAAGTCCTTCCTTTCAGTTTTCTTTCTTTTTTTTCTTTTATAATTTAATTTAATTTTACATATCAGCCACAGATTCCCCTGTCCTCCCTCCCCACCCCCACCCTCCCTATCCCCGCCTTCCCCCCAGTCCACCCCACATTCCCATCTCCTCCAGGGCAAAGACTCCCCTGGGGATTCAGCTCAGCCTGGTAGATTCAGTTCAGGCAGGTCCAGTCCCCTCCTCCCAGGCTGAGCAAAGTGTCCCTGCATAAGCCCCATGTTCCAAACAGCCAGCTCATGCACTGAGGGCAGGTCCCGGTCCCACTGCCTGGATGCCTCCCAAACAGTTCAGGCTAATCAACTGTCTCACTTATCCAGAGGGCCTGATCCAGTTGGGGGCTCTTCCTTTCAGTTTTTAAGGATTATTTCTAAGCAGTATCAGTAGCTATAACCAGTGAAGGCACAACCCCACCAGGCTCTCCAATCTCCTTCTTGGGGTGCCAAGAAGGCCAGAATGAATACAGGGAAAAGTCAACTTCAGACAGCTCCCACACTCACCACCATCTGCTGATTTAAAAATCCATTCTTTTTAATTGCATAAAGTAAAACTCACTTTTTCACATATAGTCTTTCTGGTTCTGACAAATCCTAAAGTCCTATTACTGTTGCAATCAAGATTTGGAACAGGCCAGGCCTGGTAGTTCATGCCTGTAATCCTAGCACTTCAGGATGAGGCAGGAGGATTGCAAGTTCAAGACCAGTCTGAACTACATAGTAAAATCCTGTGTCGAATCTCCCACAATACCATATTTCTTTGGCTCCCCTTTTATAGTTAATTTATCCACCACCTGCCCTTACTTCCCGGTCCCTTAGGCCAGAACCCCCATCCACCTGTACCACTGAGAGGAACCATTGATCATTTATGGCGCATAGTTTATCCTAAAGCATAGCATGAATAAATGAAGTTACACATGGTGTCCTTTTGGGAGTCTGCTTTCTATGTTAATACAAGGCATTTGAGACTGGTCCATGCCGAATCCACAAGCTATCTCATATCACTGCTGAGATGAATTCTTTTGTGTGGATGTACCAGAGTCAGTTGACCCGTTCATTAGCTAATCAGTGAGTTAAGCTGCTGTAAACATGCAAGTCCAGGTTCTGTGTGAGAGAACACAACTTTTCCTTTCTCCTGGCTGTGACGGATGCATCTATATGGTAAGAACATGTTTAGCTGTACAAGGAACCACCAAATTAGGCTGGGGTGTAGTAATACACATCTGTAATTCCACCATCGAGGAGGCAGAAGTAGGCAGATCTTTGCGAATTCAAGGCCACCCAGGGCTACATAGTGAGACATAATCCTTAGAAAAAAATAGAGAGAGCTGAAGAGATGCCTCAGCTGTTAAGTATATTTACCACTCTTGCAGAGGGCCTGAGTTTAGCTCCCAGCACCCACAGGGCAGCTTACTACCTTTGGAATCCAACACTCTTGCCTCTGACCTTTATGAGTACCAGGCATATACCTGATACACATTCAGACAAAACATTAACAGACATAAAAATTAATTAATTAAAATGTTTTTAAAAGAAAAGAAGGGGGAAAAAACTTCCAAATGGCCTTTGTTGTGGTGCTAGAGCCTGGAATCCAGGGTCCTTCATGTACTGCGCATGTGCTGTACCATGAGCTACATCACTAGCCATGCCAAGTCACTTTCTGTTCTTGTTTTGTAGTGTTGGAGATGGAGCTCAAGCATGCAAACCAAGGGCTCTACCAGGAAGCTGCCGCCTCAGCCTTACCAAATGGCACTCTTAGCTTTTTATTCATGTGTGGATCTGTGTGCATGTATGCCACAATATGTCTAGGTGCCTGTAGAGGCCAAAGGAAGGCTTAAGGCCCATTAGAGCTGGAGTTACAGATCATTGTGAGCCTCCCTTCACTGGAACTGTAACCAACACAGGTCTTTGAAGAGCAATGTGAGCTCCTAACTGCTGAGCCATCTCCAAAGTCAGCTGCCCCACTCAGTGGCTCCCAAGGGGGTGTATTTGTATCTCAATCAGCTACCAAGGCAAAGATCTACATCCTTCTAGAGATTGTAATAGTCGTGAAGGTGCTTGGTAGAGAGAGGGTGCAGTATGCCAAGGTGGGAGATTTGGGAAGAAACATATCTGAACTCTGTGTGTGTTTAATAAATATATATGTAAGTTAAAGATTTTAAGTGGGATACAATAGTTACTAAAGCACAAATCTGTAATGTAACTGTCATATATTTTTGAAAAGGATTATACCAGTGCAGCATTGTGGAATGAAGAGATTTTTGTACAATGGATTTTGATCCTATTAGTCCCCCATTCCCTCTTGTGCCCTCTTTTTATGGTACCTCCTCCACCCAGGGCTCAGGGATCATTGAGGAAAGAAGGGCAGAAAGGTGGTACGAGCCAGAGGCATTGGATGGATGCAGTGAAACAGTTTTTCAGACACAACAGGCCAGTTACATATATGAGCTTTCACAACTTGGTTAAGTCAGACAAAATCCCTGCACAGAGCGGGGGAGTTGGGAAGGAAATCCCACCCCAGCTGAGGAACTAATGACAACTGATAGCTGCTGAGGGAGGGAGAAGCCAGTTTCTTTAAAGATGTAGCCCCTAGTAAGATGGCCACACATCCACAATCACACAGACAGCACAAACTGAATCCAGTGGATTGATATCTGAATTCTTAAGTCCTGTAGGATCTAGCTGATCCTGAATATGGACAGGACACGTCCAATCGTAGGTCATTTGCTTCTCCCATGGGGTAACAAATAAACACCTCTCTACCTATTTTCCATATGCAGCAAGTGCACTGTCTCTCTAGGTTGAGCCAGCCAAGGTTTACAAAGCATGTCAGAGGACAATTTTATTCCCCAATTCAGAAAGCAAAGTGAGATAATCATCTGGACCGCTCTTATGCCACTGTGGCAGGAACTAGGAAAGGGCCATATCCAAATCAGAGTGCCAGAGCTGGCAAGGACCTTAGCAATTCTCACTTGAAAGATGATACTATGATATGGACTCTTCTCCCCATTATCCCCACCAGGCACTCATACAGCCTTCCAGTAAACAAAATCAGCCCATTTCCTGTATGACCTCTGAGAACACAGGGCAGCGTTCCACATCCCACCAATGGTGGTGTGGACAAGACTGTGGACCTGTGCTCACAGTACAAAGGGAGACAGAAAGGAGTCTACAGTGCCGCGTGCCTGGTGACCTGGCCAGAGCCCAGGTTTCTGTTTTACACCCCTTAAACCTTGGCTTCCTTAGTCTTGGCGCCCCTTTTGAGATTCTGAAGGCACCTTCTCACTTCAAAGGTCCTGAGAATATGTTTAATTAGAACTTGGCCGTACAGCCTTTTAAAATAAAACAGAAGGGACCAGCTAATTATATTGCTCCACGTTCTGTGGCAAACATATATTTTTTTAATAAAACACTTTCCTAACCAGAGTAATCCCTTGAGACACAAATCCTCATTTATAAGAAGTTTCCCAAAGGGAGTTAAAGAGAAAGACTTCTCTAAAGAAAAGAAACAAAGAGGGTGTATGTGTGTGTGTGTGGGGGGGGGGGGGTTGTTTGCAAAGAGCTTTCAAAAGAGGCTCTCTTGATGAGGTTGAAATAGGGATGTTTCAAGGATGCTGAGTTTTACTGCAAACACTGTCCGTTCCTGTCTTTTTTTTTAATCATGCATTTCCTCTTTTGATTAGTGCAGCAAATGCTGATATTTCTCTTTCTGGTGTGTTGCATAAGTGCAGTATTTAAATAAACAAGTGATTTTCTTCTCAAAATGTTCTTTGTCTCCTGCTGTGTGGCCCTGCATTGCTCCACTTGGACCTCCTTCTCTGTGCAAGAGCCTCACAGGACTGGCTATGGTTGCTGGGGTGATGCTAGGTAGGGGGTTTTGCCTGAGTGCCTGTCAGTCTAGGGTGAGAGAGAGGATTTTCCTTCACCCACCCACCCCACACTCAGATGTGAGATGACTTGGATGCTTGTGTTTGGATCCCCTGGAGCTGGAGTTACAGGTGGTTCTGAGGCACCTGATATGGGTGCTGGGAACCAACTCAGATCCTCTGCAAGAGCAGCAATCACTTTTAACCACAGAGCCATCTCTCAGCCCCTATTTATTTATTTTTTAACTTAGCATAGAACATAATAGTTTTCCTTATGGCATTTTCATACGTAATTTTTCTTATCCGGGCCCCTCCTCAACACCCTCCTCTCTCTCTTGACCTTAAGTTTGCTGAATCTCTTTCTCCTCCTCAGGAGGTCCGCTTTTCTACCTTCATTCAGTTGTGTTCCAATATCCTCTCTTTCCCAGTTCATCTCTCCCTCCCTTGGGATCGAGTCTTCCTCTTCCTGCCCCTCTCCACTTTCCTGACCTAACCTGGATTTGAATGCAGGTCTTTGCACTGGCAGTCTCCGCTCTCCAGTGCCAGAGCATGCTGGTAGATGGGACCAGTCTCTGGGACTCTGTGCTTCTATAGTGGTTTTGTGACTCTTCCTCATACAATGTGGGGAACCAACACACATCTCTTCGTGTGTGTGTGTGTGTGTGTGTGTGTGTGTGTGTGTGAGAGAGAGAGAGAGAGAGAGAGAGAGAGAGAGAGAGAGAGAGAGAGAGAGAGAGAAAGAATTTCACTATGTAGCTCATGCTGGCCTTGAACTTCCAATCCTCCTGCCTTAGTTCCCTGAGTTCTGGGATTACAGGCATGTGCCACCACACCTGGCATTGTATTTTTTAATTAAGTTTTCAGTCAGGCAGGATTCTAGCAGGAAAGGAGAAAACAGATTCAAATTCAAATGACCAAACAGGATTTCTTAAGGAAACTGTTTGCAAAGGAAAGCAGGAGAAAATAAGGAGGTGCTAAGCTATTCCAAGGCCTTCTGGGGTCAAGGGTCCTGAGTCCTGGGAAGCAGAACAATGAGCAGGACTCTCCTTTTGAAGAGCTGTTTTTCCAGAGTCACAGCCCAAGAAGGGGTAGGATTCACCACTGCTCTCTTTTTCTTTCTCCCTCTGCTGCCTGGGCTCCACATCACAAACACCCCAGCAAACACAGTGAAGCAGTCCACTGAAACTGCTGCCTAGGCCAGCCTCCAGGGTTCACTCTGGGGGTCTAAGGCAGAAAACCAGCAAAAGAAGAACACACTGGAAAAGACTGGATGCGGATGATGCATCAGCTCTTCTAGCAGTAGAGAGAAAATGGGGAGGGAGGGAATGGAGGGAGGGAGGGAGGGAAGGGAGGATCCAGACCTATGCCCTGAGACCTTAGAGTCTGAAAGAATCTAGGTAGACTGGAGAAGTAGTCCCTTGGCTAAAAGTCTACATTGCCTGCCAAGCCCGAGGTATAAAGGATGGTCATGAAAGCTTGGAGTTTGATTTGTGTGTCCCTCAAAGGGACCACATGAATGATAAAACTCACTGCTTGCAGCATTTACAGAACTTAGGCAGATCTGAGGCCAGATATTTTTATTTGATGTAACTGTAATGCTCTTCTCAAACACTTCTTAAATAAAATTAAATAAAAAGGAAAAGAAATCATCCTCCTAGCCCCCAAAACAAAGATTGGCACCTTGGCCTGAATGCTACCACTTCATTCCTTCTGTGCTTTTCCTCCATAGTGATAGCCACGTTGAGTAGAAAACATTGAGGATGGAATTTTTGTTTGGGTTTCTTATTGTATTTTGTCAGGTTCTAATCTTTCATACACTTTTGATGATTATATGGCATTTCACTGCATTATTATCACAGTTCTTTAAAGAAGATTTAAATTTCATTTTTAGTTTTGTGTATGCATGTGCATCTGTGTACCAGTTTGTGCATGTGAGTGCAGTGCCTGTGGGAGTCAGAAGAGGGCGCTGGATCCCCTGGTATCTCTCTTGTTGTTGTTATCATCCTAATGTTTAAATATTTAGGTTATTTTCTGTTTGTTTAGGTTTTCCATTATAGTGTAGAATGTTATGATGAATAACTGCACATAAAGATATTTTTTAAAACATATTTTAGATGGTTTCTTCAGGATGACATCTCTGATACAGTTACTAGATGGTAAAATGTTTAACACAGCTCCAGCCACAAAAGGACATAAGTTCAACAGTAATTATCTTTATTCAATGGTGAGTATTTATATAAGGATTTTTCTAATGTTAGAATTATTAGGAAGACATTTTGCATTTCTCTCAAGAAGGCATTTGAAAACTGCAGTGTATTCTATAGGATTCATATCAGTTCAGAGCTTCCACATTCTAGGCCTCAGTAGTCACACATGTGGCTTGTAGGTCCTATGGAGAATAATGCAGGGCCATAGAAAGAATCTGCTGGAGATTTTGGCTACCATTGGCATTGTCACCTAGCTCCCAAGTCTATCCGTCTTTCGCTGTTTTCCTGATGTCCTTTCTCAGCCTTCATGAACTAACAGTAAATCAGATGGCCAGATGTAGCCTGAATCCTCTGCCTGCTGCTCTCATTCCTACCTGAATGCTGAGGAATATACGGCCTCCCCACACCCAACCCTGTTTGCTGCAGATCATCAGCACTCTTAGTGCCTGGGCCATCTAACCAGTCCTAGGAAAGCCGCCCATCTCACCGGTGAGTAGGGCTTGGCAAGATGGCTCAGTGGGTAAAGGAATTTGCCACCAAACCTGACGACAACCTGAGTTCAATTTCCAGAACCCATAAGAGAAAGAGGGAACCGACCCACAATAGTTGCCCTCTGACCTCCACACCCAAGCAGTAGCATACACCTGCCTGAACACCCCCCCCACATTATTCACACATATTTCTTGACTATTTCCTATATGTTCAGCTCTATCCTTATATGCAAATAAACACACAGAATGTTCTACTGCTATTTCATTGCAGAACTAGTCTGTGTTCTTAGGATCCTGTTGGGGAGACAGACACAAATCAAATCACACAGTGTGTGAGTTCAAACTATGATGACTGCTAGGAGGAAAAGCATATTTAAAAATGCTGAGCCCTAAAAAAAGGTAAAGTTAAAAAAAAATAATGCTGAATCTTCTGGGCCATGGTAGTGCATACCTATAACCCCACACATGTTGGCCTCCGACTAATGGCAATCTTCCTGCTCCAGCTTCCCAAGTACTGGAACTTCCTGCATCTGTTCTGCCCATGAACCCAATGAGGTGGATGGCAGATATCTCTCTGGACATTTCAGACAAGCAAATCCAGCAATCTCTTGGGCCAGACTGACGACGCTGCCAACTGGGCACACTTTCCCGAGAAGATAACAATTTAAAGAGGAAAAATCAATGCTAATAGAACTCTTTTTCAGGTTTGGAAAATGACATTGTCCACAGCAGCTGATGCTGAGAGCCCTGCGGCTGGGCAGAAGGCATGAGCTCTGGACGGACGCAATCTTGTGAGCTCTTCAAATGGGGCCAAATCAATAAATGAGAGGCAGCGGGGATGGCAGGAGGCTGGGTTCAAGGGGTAAGCTGTACCATTCCTCTTCTAGTCCTGCTCCACAACCGGGACCCTCCCTTCATTCTGAAGTCCCTGGGGACAGGGTAATTTCGGCCACACTTGATATAACCTATACATCACTGTCTTCTGGACCAGCTCTCAAATTAAACTCTGATGTATAAAGTTAAACAAAAATGAGATAAAAATTGGCAGAGGTTGAAGAGGGTCAAAGTAGTCAAAACACAAGGTGGAGTATTGCTCCTTTTGATTTATGTTATTCTGTGCACTTAGAAAAAAAATAAAATTATAAATCTCCCTGAGACTTTTCTCATTGAGAATGAGGCATTACTAATTTATTTTCAATAGACTCCCGGGTTTTCCATCTAGGGCTGAGTGGGTGATTCCGAAGCTATTGTTTCCAGTGACCATGCCCCAAATGGTTCTAAAACACGAACCGGGGAGACACTAAAGCATCTTGCAAATTTAACATCTCGGCAGAGTGCTAAGAACAAGTCTGCCTTGTGTTGCGTGTATGCTTTTCTTTGTCTCTTCCCACCTTCCTTCTCCTCCTTCTTCCCTGTTTATAGTGTGGATGGCATGCATGCATGTGTTCACATGGATGTAGGCACACAAGTATGTGCATGGACATGTGTGTATGTGTTGTGGAGGCCTGAATCCTTCCTCAACTGCTCTCCACTTTGATTATTGAATCAGGGTCTCTTGCTCCACCTGGACTAGTTGATTCTGGCTTGGGTAGGTCAACAGCTTTCCTCAGGATCCCGTTTTCTCTCTGCTGGCTGAGCATTGGGTTACAGGCAGCCTCCACGTCTGCTTGCTTTATGTGATGCTGGAGGTTTGAATTTGCAGCTCATGCTGGCATGGCAAGTGCTTTATCCACTGAGGTGTCTCCACAGCACCTTTTTTCTGTCTTTTCTCTGTCTTTCCTCCTCCCCTCTCCCCTCCCCAACCCATCAATTCCCCTGTCCCTCCCTCCTCCCTTTCCACCCTCTCCCTCTCTTTTTCTGTTGCCCAGGCTAGCCCCTAAATTGAGATCATTCTGCCTCAGCCTCTCCAGTGCTGGATCACAGGAGCGTACCATGCTGGGCTCCGTGCTGCACTGTATTCTTTAATCCTATAAGGCATTGAGGTGTGGAACACACAGAAGTCATTGTCCCCATCAAAAGTTGAAAAACTGCATGTTAGAAAAAATGCATGCATTCAGTATTAGGGACAAGGGAGTGAGTAAGAAGGACACCACACCCTCATTTAGGGACTTCAGCTTAAATGACTAAAACCAAAATGTGATTATGGTTAGGATTAACTGCTGTGAAGAAAACAGGATAGATAACAGAGTCAAAAAATGAGTCCATGAAAGCCAGTGGAGACCCTCAGATGGGAGAGACAGGATTGCGGATTGGATTAACTAACATCCCTCCCTCCCTCCTTCCCTCATACCTTCTCTCTCTCACACCCTCCCTCCCCCTCCCTTCTTCCTTCCTCCCTCCCTCCCTCCCTCCCTCCCTCCCTCCCTTCCAGTGCTAAGAATTGAACCCAGAACCTTGAGCACATCACCACTGAAGCAATACCCCCAGACCCTCATGGTAAATTCTAGGCAAGTACTTTATCACCAAGTTACACCCTATCCCCTCATTGGTAGATTAAATTCTAGGCAAGTGCTCTAACATTGACCCTTGTTTGTTTGTTTGTTTGGTTGGTTTTTATTTTTTCAGGTTTTTTTGTGGTGTTTTTATTTTTGTGTTGGACAGATATTTGGAGTCATGGTCTTCTTGTCTCTGCTTCCACAGTTCTGGGATCACAGACTTGGGCTACCACATACACATCACCAAGAATTACCTCCGGAGACACAGATAAGATCAAGGGGACAAATGAGGATACTGTGTGTTATCCAGGCCACACAGATATGGCCGTGTGTGGGGGAGGGTATAGTGGGGACAGGCAATGGCGGGGTGTGGTTCAAATATCTGTATTTTGAATGTGAGGGTCTGAAAATGATCTCTGGGCTCCACTACATGGTTCTTTCCAGAGCATGGAGGTACCTAGCCAGCTGGCTAGCATAGACCCAGGATACAGGCAAAAGGCTATTTGAGGAAGTGAAGAAGCACCAGCAGAGGGCAGAGATTGCAGAGAGGAGGGTCTCTGGGAGGGAGGGAGGGAGGGGATAAACACATTCTTGAGTACTATTTTTCCCTCCACTGACTATAAAAGTGCATTGCAGTCTATTTACCTCTGTTCTTTCTCGATTTCTCTCAAGGACACAGCCCACTTCTTCATCACTCAGCCCAGGACTGTGAGACTGCCTCAAGATAGATGAGCAAAAGTTACAGAGTTTCCTATTGTAGTTACATCTCAGTTGGGGGATTGATGCCCACCTGCCTGACGCTATGGGATGGATTTCAGCACAGATGTGACCTCTGTGGCCAGAGGCCAGGATGAGGTTAGTGTGGCTGCAAAGACCAGCCTTCGATCTGTTTGCTGAGGTAACCACAGTGGCTGCAGGCCTGCCTCATCTGAGAGGGTACAGGTCTGATGGATTCCAGGTGGAGCTTAGTCCTGAGCCTCATGTCTCCTCTATGTTAGATATGCATAAGGTTATTCAATGCCTCAGCCTGTGCCAGCTTCTCATGGAGCATTCTTTGAAGGTCCTTTTGTTCTTTGAGTTCAGGGGAGGAATGGTAACTCAAGGAATAGTTCTTTGGGACTATGATGGTTAGCTTTAATTGTCAGTTTGACACAACCTAAAATAACCTGGGTAGAGTCTCGGGGATTGTCTACATTGGGTTGGCCTGTGGGCATGTCTGGATGATAGCTTGTCTTAATTAAGTTAATTGATGTGAGAAGGTCCAGGCCAGTGTGGGTGACACATCCCCTAGGCAGAGGATCTTGAACTGTAAGAGGGGAGAAACAGATCTGAACACAAGCAGACAAGCGATCGAGAATGCGTGCACCCATTTCTCTCTGCTCATGATTGTGGTTGTGATGTGACAAGCTGTGCGAAGTCCCTGCCTCGACTTCCCCACAGTGATGAACTATGATTGAGAATTATAGGCTGACATGAATTTCTTCCTCCCCTGAGCTGCGTTGTGCTAGGTTATTTTTTATCACAGCAACAGAAATGAATCTAGAACAGGGACACAGGTAAATGCCATCTCCTATTCTCACTTGAAATCCATTTTAAATACTGACCTAAGTTGTTCGATGGACAATTGCAAAAGTTGTATGTTCTAACTCCGTGGAAACCCCTCCTCAGTGCTTTCTTCTTCCACTAGCCTGGTTAAGTGAAAACAGGGTGAGGTGGAGCCACAGAACAGAGGGAACCTGAATTTTGAATGTCCACATGGACAACTGCCCCCACTGAAGACTGATATGTGAATAAGAAATAAGCTGTATTGATCACTTATGTACCAGGATCTGTTGGTATAGCTCACCCTAAGAGAATCCACACTTCGGAGTTTATAGTCACATTAAGAACACGAGATTCAAATGCATGGCTCTGGAACAAGAGGAGGAGGTTGTGGTGGTTTGAATGAGATGTCCCCCACAACCTCAGGCATTTGAATACATGGTCCCAGTTACTGGTGTTGTTTGGGACATTTAGGAGGTGTGGCCTTGCGGGAGGAAGTATATCACTAGGAGTGGACTTTGAGAGTGAAAATCCTCACACTTCAGTTCCCTCTCTCCTCTTCATGCTTATGTTTGAAGATGTGAACTCCTAGCTGCCCGCTCCCTCCACTCATACCTGCCTCTCACTGCCATGTCTACCCACCATGGTGGACTCTTATCCCTCTGGAACTATGAGCCCAAATAGACGCATTTTTATATAAGTTGCCCTGATCATGGTGTTTTATCACAGCAATTGAAAAGTAACTAAGACAGTGACTGAGATGAGCAGCTGTGTTTTAGAGGTTATTCTTTCCCAGCCCATAGAAATATCCAGGCTGCAGGCAACTGGACCTGTGAGTCTCCCCTCCAAACCCTTCCCTGCAGGGGAAGGGAAGACATGATTGGCAGTAGACCATCCCAATGGGAGGATCACGAGTAGGCTTTAAAGTAAGTACAGACGAAAGCATCTGGGCCTGTTCCTTGGGAATGAAAGGAAGAAAAGTGCCCCTCAGTGCCGATAGCCCTGCCTGTCACGGGGTAAAGTCGGGGAGAGACTTCTTAACCCTTGGTCTTCCTCTTAGCAGACCTCAAAAGTTTCCAGGAGAGTGAGCCCAAGCCAGAGTGTGGGATGTGTTGGCCTGCTTCTCTTCTAGACCTTCACTGGGCTTGGCCCCCAACCTGTTTTAGCACTAAGTTATCTAGGTCTTCAATGCTTGGTTAGAACCAGTTTGTCCAGCTTTCCCCAAAGGCCTGTGACATTAGAGACTTGATCTTGCTTCTGGACTGAGGAAGTGCTGACTGACACTTCCAAACATCAGTTGAATTTTGGATATGGCCTTAAAGTCACAGTGGCAATCTGGGCAACTGGAAAGCTTAGCTTGAATCTGTCTGCTCCCAGTAGACCCTGGTGTGGAGCAGAACCATCTGGTCACATATGGTTTACGACTATGGCAATGGAGCCCTCTGAATGAAGAACTTGTTGGATGCCCTTGACCTCGAGGAAGTAACAGGAACTCAGAGTGTTCAGTGTGATTTATCACCTGTTGAGAAAGGTAAACACTGTTGTAATTTGTCATGATTTAGATTTGGAATGTCACCCCTCAACGGCTCCTGTGTAGAAGGTTTCAGCTGATGGTACTACGTGGGTACCTTTAGGAGCTGTGGCTGTGCTGAAGGAAATAGGCTATTGTGGTTTGTCTGAAATGTCCCCCACAGAGTCATATTCTGGGTGCTGAGTCCTGAGATTATGGTGCTGTTTTAAGCACTGTGGAGATTTTAATAGTTGGGACCTGGCCGGAAGAAGGGGTGGGCCTTTGGAGTTGATGGCCACCTCTGCTCCTGGCTGGCCTGCTTTTTGGTCTGCCACAATGTCCCCAGCTGCCTCACACTTTCATAGCTATGAATGGAATCATTCCACCATGCCCCGCCCCACACCATGATGGACTGACTTCATGAGTCAAAATAAACCTTTCCAACCATAGTTTGCCTGCAAGATATTTTGTTACAGGGACAGGTCATGGCAGGAGGTGACATCCTTGAAAGGCATGCTACAAACCTGGACCTTTCCATACTGCTTCTTTGATTCCTGGTTGGCATGAAGTGATGTCTCTGTGATGTCATGCCCCTCCACACACATACTGTTCCACACTGACTAGTTCCTTTTGCATTGATCTGCTTCAAGAGGCAATGGAGCCAAGTAGCCATGGACAGAACCTCTGAAATCATGAGCCAAGTCAATCATTCCTCATTTGTAAGCTGATTGATTATCCCAGGTATGAGACCTAGGTCAAAACAGTTTTCCTGTTGCTGGACACTCCCTTCCATTTTCCTAATGTACATGTACACTAATTGCTTTATATGAAAGGTGCATTTCTGGGGTCCCCACAAAGTAGCATGATTGAACAGTCCTTCTAAAGACATGGCTTCCAAGGAGCTGGGAATACAGCTCTGCACTAGAATACCTGCCTAGAATCTCCCAGTGAGGGGCTGGGGTGTGGCTCAATGGTAGAGCACCTACCTAGAATCCCCCAGAGAAGGGCTGAGGGTGTGGCTCAGTGGTAGAGCCCCTGCCTAGAATCCCCCAGTGAGGGGCTGGTGGCCTGGCTCAGAGATAGAACAGTTTGCCCAGCATGCACAAGGCCTAAAGTTCCACCCCAGCAGTACAAAGCATCAACAACATGATAATGACTTGGCTTCCAGTTCTAGCTCCCAGTTTTCACTAGGGGGCCACTTCAGCCTTCTTACTCCTGTCTCCTCTCCCTAGTTTTTCCAAGATGCTTCTGTTAAATTAATATTTGTTGTTCATAGAGTTTACTGTTGAGTTAAGCAGCATGATTTGAATTAATGCCATTCTCATTTGTTTTTTTCCTAAAGCCAACAATAATTCATTTATATTTGCTTGTTTGGTTTTTTTTTTCCAGTACATGTGGTTAAGTTTCTTCATATCCACCTACAGCCTCTCAGGAAGATTTTCGTCAAGGTCAAACACAGCAGCTAATCCACAGATCTGGCGTCTGAGCTTCTTGTCTTTGAGGCATTGTGTCTGTTCCCTGATGCTCCAGCTGCTCCTGTTGCCTGGGTGACTACACATTAGTCCTTACTCCAACTTGAGGACTTGCTTTAGCTCTGGCAGCCACTGGTCCCCCACTTCCTGGAGCTCTTGTCTTCTTTTTCTTGCCTTAATTCCCCCTTTGTTGCTGTACAATCCTAATAGCTGTCTGATGATGTAATAATGGTGTCTGGGTTGAGTAAGCCAGAAAAAAAGGCTTTCCCAGATAAGCATATCCTAGACCAAGAACAGCAGCAGCAACCACAGCTAAATAAAGCAAGAAGACTGAGCAGAGATACAAAGCCTGTTTTTTTTTTTTTTTTTTTATCAAGTGAGCAGCCAACACTTCAAAAGACATGAAAGAGAAGGAGGAAGAGAGCTCTGGGCATCTGTTCTGCTGCATGTCTGCAAACAGGGACACCAAGACACCACCCAAGGTACAGAGCCAGAGCATGGCACTCCTTAAAAGATCCCATAGAGCTTGGGTGCAGTGTCTCCAGCTTTGAGCCCTGTGACTCCCTGTCATATCCTTTTGGAAGATGAGTATGTGACCCAACTGAAAACGGAGGAAAATGAAAACCCAAATCAGAGGGATGAGGGGAAATGTCTATTATTGAACTCCAACTCTTTACCCGAACTGCCCCACAGAAGAGAGGCTAGAAGAAAGGTCAAGTATGTCCTCCTTCCCTCTCCTTCCCTTTTCCCGCCTTTCTTTCTGTCCCTCCCTCCCTTCCTTCTTCTGCCCCCCATCCTTTTTCCTCCACTCCCTCTATTCTTTCTTGGGTCTCCTATGCAGCCTGGGATGGACTTAATTCTACAGTCTTCCTGGCCCTGCCTCCCTGTGCTGAGATGACACTCGTGTACCACCACACCAAGCTGGAACATTTCGCAGTCCAGCATTCCTCTAGGAGACAGTAGGGCAGACCCTGTTGCTAGTGTCCTGCAGTGTCCTAGGCTTCTTCTTCTAGGAGAAGGACCAGTCAAAAGCATGCTTCACTCTGGAATCCTACTTAGGAGGCCCGTTCCCAAATGTCAGCTCCTAATCGGCAACAGCTGCCTCTGTGGTTTCTTCTGGGCGAGTGATTCATGTCTTTGCTGAGAAACGATAAGCAGAACAAATGTTTACTTAGACGTATAACAGAGGGACAATTGGAAAACAGGAGACAGGCAACTGGAATTATTTTGCTGCTATTTGATCCATGACAATTAGAGGGAATTAGTCATATGGGCCAGAGGCAGAGTGGGGGAGGCAGATGGGTTCCTGGGAAAACAACAGAAGGAAACAGAGGGAGGGTGGAGAGTTTGGTCAGGGTACTATAAACTGGCCTTCATCCCCCAAAAGGCACATTCCCTGACAACCTGTTAATGGATTATACAAGCAGGTTCTACAGAACAGAACCTGGGGAAGAAAAGTTTACATATGTGTGGCTAGTGACTCTAAAATCCATCCTTTTTTTAAAAAAATCACATTCACAAATTAAAATACGGGTTAGGGCATGACTCAGTGGCAAAGCACTTTGTCAGGCTTGGGCTCAATCCAGCACAGAGAAAAGAAGAAAAGAAAAGAGCATCATCATTCTTGTGTGTAGCGTGGCTTGTGTATATACAGGTACAGGAAGACAGGAGGAAAATACACAGGGCGTGGTGGCACGTGATTATAATCCTAGCCAACTTGGGAGGTAAAGCAGGGGATCCAGTGTTCAAAGGCCAGCATGAGCAATTCAGGGAAATTGTCTCAAGAATGAATTCTATCATACTATCTGTAATATACATTACTTATGTAGGTAGACACATAGGCTTATATATACATTGGTTAGCTGTTATTATCAACTTGATACAACCTGGGATTGGAAAGTGGTAACCTCAACTGATGAATTGCCAAAATCAGGTTGGCCTATGGCCATGTCTGTGAGAGATTATTTTGACTGATAATTGATATGGGAGGGCCACAAGGCATCCCCAGGCAAAAAGGCCTAGATGGTATTAAAATACTAGCTGAGCCGGGCATGGTGGTGCTGGCCTTTAATCTGAGAACTTGGGAGATAGAAGTAGACAAATCTCTGAGTCTGAGGCCAGCCTATACAGTGAATTCCATGCTAGCCAGGGCTACATAGTGAGAAACTGTCACAATGAATAAATGAATAGATAAATAAGCAAATATCTTCATTTGCCAGGTATGGTGGCACATACTTACAATCCTAGCACTTGGGAATCACAGGCAGTTGGATCTCTGTGAGTTCAAGGCCAGCCTGGTCTACAGAGTGAGTTACAGGACAGATAGAGCTACATGGTGAGGCCCTGCCTCAAGAAAAATAAATAAATAAATAAATAAAGACAACCCCAGAACCAGATTGAACCAGAAAGGGAGGGAGGACAGAGAGAGACAGAGACAGAGGCAGAGAGAGATCAGTAAGCACCCGTCATTCTTGATTTCTGCTCCAAGTTCCTGCCTTAAGTTCTTGCCTAACTTCCCTCAGTTATAGGCTTCAGCCTGAAAGTGTGACCTGAAATGAAGACTTTCCTCCCCTAAGTAGCTTTTGGCCAGTGTTTTATCACAGCACAGACAGCAAACTAGGACAGTATGTGAGCTTTTTCTTTTTTATTAAGAGATTTTCTATTCATTTTACATACCAACCACAGATTCCCCCTCTCCTCCCTCCTCCCACCCCCCAGCCTTTCCCCTCAACCCACCCCCATTCCCACCACCTCCAAGGCAAGGTCTCCCATGGGGAGTCAGTAGAGCCTGGTACATTCAGTTGATGCAGGTCCAAGCCTCTCCTCCCTGCACCAAGGCTGCCCAAAGTGTCTTACCATAGGCACTAGGCTCCAAAAATCTGGCTCATGCACTAGGGACAGGTCGCGTTCCCACTGCCTGGGGGCCCCCTAAACAGTTCAAGCTAAACAACTGTCTCGCTTATCCAGAGGGCCTAGTCCAGTGTCATGGGGGCTCCTCAGCTATTGGTCCACAGTTCATGTTTCCACTAGTTTAGCTAGTTGTCTCTGTACTTTTTCCAATCATGGTCTCGATAGCTCTTGCTTATAGCATCCCTCCTCTCTCTTGTCGATTGGACTCCTGGAGCTCTGTCTGGGACCCAGCCGTGGATCTCTGCATCTGCTTCCATCAGTCACTGGATGAAGGTTCTATGATGTCAGTTAGGGTATTCAGCCATCCCATCACCAGAGTAGGTCAGCTCAGAGACCCTCTCGACAATTGCCAGTTGTCTATGATGGAGTCATCTTTGTGGATTCCTGGGAACCTCCCTAGCACTCTGCTTCTCCTTAGTCTCATGGTGTCTTCATTTATCATGGTATCTCTTTGCTTGTTCTCCCACTGTGTTCCTGATCTAGCTCAGAAAATTGGGAATCAATCTTCCTCAATTCCTAGCTATACCACTCTTGAGAATATACCCAAAGAATGCTCAATCATACCACAAGGACACATGCTCAACTATGTTCATAAGCAGCACTAACTGTAATAGCCAGAACTGGAAACAACCTAGATGCCCCTCAACTGAAGAAAGGATAAAGAAAATGTGGTACATATACACAATGGAGTACTACTCAGCAGAGAAAAACAATGACATCATGAGGTTTGCAGGCAAATGGATGGAACTAGAAAATATCATCCTGAGCGAGGTAACCCAGACTCAGAAACACAAACACTACTCACTCATAAGTAGATACTAGATGTAAAGCAAAGGATAACCAGACTGCAACCCACAGCTCCAGGGAGACTAGCTTGTAAGTAGGACCCTAGGAAAGACACAGGGATTGCCCAGCGATGGAGAAATGGATGAGATCTACATGAGCAAACTGGGGGTGGAGGGTAATGGAGGGCAAGAGACGGGTGAATGAAGGCTTAGGGGAGTGGGAGGTCCAAGCTGGATCAGGATGTGAGCTTTTTAGATGTATGCATGTATGCATATGTAGCTCAGTGGTAGAGTACATACCTACCAAGCACTGGATCCTAGGTTCAAAATCCTCTGTACTGGGGGAAAATATTCTGTAAACACCCACATTAGTGACTTTTCATGCTTTCACTATTGATTTGGACAGAAGCATGTACCTTGACCAGGGATAGACAGTTGGGCCCATTGAGCAGGATTTTGAGTGTGTGTGCATGTGTGTGTGTGTGTGTGCATGTGCGTGTGCTTGTGTGTGTGTGTGTGTGTGTGTGTGTGTGTGTGTGTGTGTGTGTGTGTGTGTACACGCACGCGCGGGCGCACGCACGTGTAAGACCACACTTCAGAGGCCTCTCTGACTGTGACCTGGCTTGTCCCCTGGACGTGAACACAGCTCCCTGAGGATGACTTGAGAACTGATGCCTGCTGCTGGGGGTTAAGCCTGAGCACACCTGGCACACATCTCTTGGGCTGACTCATCTGAGAAGCACACACAGTCTTCTCCTCCCACTGCAGGGTCACCAAGTGTCGACGTGAGAATGATCAGAGGCTCTGGGTCCCTCTCTGTTCCAGGTCAGGAGGGAATCATCCCAATGCTAGTGCACATCTGTCCATGGTTTTTGTTTTGTTTTGTTTCTGAGGAGGGTTTTGCTGGGTAGGCCAGGCTGCCCTTAAACTGGAGATCCTCATGCCTCAGCCTCTGAATGCTGGCCTTGGGTGTGAATGCCACTACTCAACTCAAAGAATTCTTATGGAAGGAGGTCAGTGCAATGACATTCTCCACACTGTCAACAGTGGATGAGTTAGCCCTAATTCCAGAGTGCGGCACTGGCCCTTAGCCACTTCCCTGACTGACAGCTAAAGCCTCCCCTTCATCCCCAAAGCTGCTTTCATTCCTCCTCAGTTTCCTTTCCTTGCGTTGTGGGCTGAGAGAGGGGTGGATACAGCATGAAGCTGTCTTACCCACTGCTTTTTAGCAAATGTCTGCGGAATCTTTAAAGCAGTTTTTATCATAATAAAAATATTTTAACTTATAACCCCAGAAAGAGATAGGCCTGGGAGTCTTTATAAAGCACGGCAATCCAGATGAGCATAATTTGAAAGTAATTTGAATTGTAATGAGGATTTTTAATGTAAACAGGCAGAAGGAGAAACTTGCTGGGTTCTGCCATAGCACATACACCCAAATATATGTCTTTTGATGGAAGTATTAACGTGTCAAGGAAGCAAAAGATGCTCCGGCATTGATGGTGTGAGCGGGAGCAGCATCCTCTATGGTGTCAAATGATGAAGATGTCAGAGGGAATGGAGGATGGTCAGTGTGCTGGGTGGCCTGATGTCAGTGCAGGCCAGGTCCTGTGGGGTGAGAAGGAGCAAGGCCTGGCCTGAGAACTGCTCTTTGCAGTTGCAGGGAGGGACAAATAGCCGCTACATAGTAGGCTAACAGTAGTTTTCATCAACTTGCTCAAAATAGCAAGCAGAAGGGATTTTGAATGTTCCCAACACAAGGAAGTGATGTACGTCTGAGGTGAGGGGTCTGCCAGTTATCCCAATCTGGTCGTTACTCATTCTGTACATGCATTGAAACACCGCACGTGCACTCCATAAATATGCACGGTTGCTTTGTATCAATTAAAATAATAATGCATTATTAAAAGGAAAGACTTACAGAAAGCTGAGCTGGAAGGGTTCCTGGGACTGTGGAGGAGAGCATTCTAAGAGCACTATCCTCTAAAATCTCTACTTCATTTTCCTCCTCTCGCTCATCATTTTTATTTTCTGCTCCTTCTTCTTCAGTCCTGTGGGTTAAAGCCAGGGTCTGACACTCACTAGGCAAGCATACCACCCCTGAGCTACACCATAACCCTATTTTATTCTCATTTTTAGGATGCAAGAGCTTGCTAAGGTTTTGAATCAAGTATGTAGCCCAGGAGGGGATCTTTCTTGCCATTTTTTTAGCCTCAGTCCCCAAAGAAGCTGGGGCAACAGGCATGTGCCCCCATGTCCAGCTGACATCTGAACTTCTGTCTAATACAATTGTTCAACTAAAGGAACTTGTTTGTCATGATGACACTGTAGACCTCTGATCACTTTGCTTTGGATAAATGAAAACAGTATTGAGCACTAATTAACTACTTGTGCTTGCCTATCACTCTGAGCTTCAGGTATGCGCATTTTTATTGAGAAAGATGAGTAAAATGCAAGAAACAGGTGAAAAATGTCCAGAATTCAAACTGCAGCTTCCACCCTCAATGTAACCACAGCAACAGAAAGAGAACTACAGCCTGGACTCGCATCTCACATGCGGCGATCGGTCCTATTTAATGAGCAGCTCATGCGTTACCTCAAGGCTTTTCAATTACCTCTGTTAATAAGCAGTCCATACCAGTAGAGAGTGATTCCCTCATTCAACAGATGGGAAGACTGAGGACTACAGAGAGTAGAGAGCCCTCTGGAGGCTCCCATAGCACCCCATATCTCCCAGCAGAATGCTTTCAGGTGGTTACCTCCTTTATTTCTGCTGTCCACCCTGTGAACTCTTAAATGAGAGCCTGGTCCTTAATTACAGTGAGCCACTGATGTTCTTGGAAGAAGAGGCAATCTGAGGATCCCATCTCTGCATGGAGCAGCCTGCTGGGACCTGGGACCCTTGCGAGGAGTGGGCAGACACATTGAGTGGTGATGGGCTTCCTAGAGAAGTCATGTTTGTCTTCCAAAGGCAGACTATTCAACTCAAAGCACAATATTTTTTTGGCTCAGCGTTCGGCTTTTGGAGTGGCAGCTGTTGCCACCAGAGCAAATTCTGAAAATGTGTAATTCTCAGAAATAATCGCCAACCCTCAGAAAAGATGTGTTTACACAGAAACTTGCCTGCATTCATCCTGAAACAGTTTTCTCTGAGGTCCCCTGCCTCCTCCCCAGCAACTGTTTCAGCTATCATGCATCTACACAAGTGCCAAAGGATCTCAACTAAGGTCTCGTCCCACATACTCCTCCTCAGATGGAGCCATATAATTTCCTGTTATTCGTCATTCCTAATAATTTTTAGAAAATCAAATCTGTGATCAGGCAGACAAGTAGCATTCAATTCCATTGGCTCACTTATGGTCAGCCAAAAAGTCCCATTAGGCCCACGGCAGGTGGCCCAGGAATGGGACCCTTTAAAATAAAACCATTAAACATACAACTTCTAGAACCTTCTTCCGTTACCCAACTGGAAGTGTGAGGTCTCCTCTATTTTACATTAAAAAAAAAAGATTTGTAGGCATATATGGCCCAAGCTAGTGGGTCAATAGGCAGGTTCCTTCGGACCAATATCCACCCTTCATGTCAGTGAGTTCTCAACATGTAGGTCATGACCCCTTTGGGTGGTAGAATAACCCCTTCATGGGGGTCACAGATCAGATATTCTGTATATCAGAAACTTACAGTATGATTCATAACAGTAGCAAAATTACAGTTATGAAGTAGCAACGAAAGAACTTTATGGTTGGAGTCACCATACATGAGGAATTGTATTAAAGGGCTGCAGTATTAGGAAGGTTGAGAACCACTGGTCTATGCAGGGATCCATCTGCCTACCAGGCAATCAGTCAGTGGACTCTGTTTTGAGACAGGGCCTCATCATGTAGCCCAGGCTGTCCTGGAATTCACTGTCTTCCTGCCTCATTCTCTCAAGCACTGAAATTATAGCACATGCTACCAAGCCATGCACAAGGAACTCTTTACACCCATTCTTGTGGGCCTGGCACTGCCAGGTGTCAGGAAGATAGGAACGTACAGAACAAGGTCTTTTCCCTTGGTGTTCACACTGACTGAGGAGAATAACTTGGAAGACACCCAAGGAGGAAGAGAAGTGGAGCTTGGGAACACAGAGCCGCAGCTGGTGCCCTTGGGAGTTGTTGTTGTAGGCAGTGAATCCTTTGCACCTGTTGGGTGACAGATCTGTCCTGTGTGGTATGTTGGCTTCCTGTGTGTGCTGCACTGAATTACCACAGATCTGGTGACTTCAAATTACGCACACTAATTCTCTACAGTTCTAGAGGCCAGAGACTTAAAATCACTACCCCCAGCATCAACCGAGGTGTAGACTTGCCTTGGCCTCTGGGGGGATCTCAGGGACAATTTGTTCCCTGCCTCTCACAGTTTGTCATGCTGTTAAAAACCCTGGATTAGTGGCTTCATCATTCACTCTTCAAGGCCAGCATCTTCAAATCTCTCTGTCCTGCTTCAGTGGCGTCTCTTTTGTATACCTGTGTGTGTGAAATCTACCCCACCTTAGAAAAATCCAGGGTGTATTCAAACTCATGATCCTTGTGCCTCAGCATCCCAAGTGTGAGGATTATGTGTCTCTACAGGAGAGGCTTGTGTCTCCCTCTTCTGTGGTCATTTGTAGTCACGAGGCCCTACCAAACACTGTCTTTCTACCTCACATCTTTGTGTTGTAAGGCTCCCTTAATGACCTAAGAGGGGACCTAGAGTGACCTCTTTGCTTACAGAACGACATTCACAGACTCTAAGTCCTTTGACCTGCTGCTGTCTTGTGGGCTGCTCTTCTGCCTGCCACGTGCGATTCCTTTTGTCGTTGGCAAGAAGCTGGTCTTTTGAATGTCCCCTTAGGTATTCATTGCGCTTCTCTCCCACTTTTTGGTCATTTCCCCAGGACACGTGTCCTTCTTGCTAAGGAAGAGCCCCGGGGTCACAGACTGGGCTCCAGGGTAGTGTGCAGCCCACCTCCCCTGATCAGCTGGAGGCTATTGAGTTCATCATCACCTCATACATGCTCCATGTGAGGCAGATTCATTCACCAATGCCTGTGTTCTGTGACCAGAAAGAGGCTCTTGAGTCAAATGGATGCCTGGGGTCAGTGCCGAAACACAAAAGCGATTAAGAGGACACAAAGAGGTCGGGGCAGGCCTGCTCCCACTGGCGATTAACCCAGCAGAACCACAAGGAGACAGAAGGGCTGCCTAGTCCTGTTCCTACCCCCTCCCTAGTGTCTGACTCCTCTCTGCAGGAGACTACAGGGTCATGGGGGCCACTGCAGAAATCACACTGATGTTTGTCCCGGGGGCTGTGAGCCCCCACCAGGAAGGACTTCTGCCTTGGAGTCAAGTAAAATCAAGGCCTTGCCCTGAGAACCTGATAATCCCAGAATTACATTACCCTGGTATGTTGAACATTTCATTATCAATGCATACTCATAACAATCCAGAAACTGGCTTGCCTGTGGTCATTTAAAGTTGGGCATACTTGTAATTTCAGTACTTGGGAGGCTGAGGGAGAGAGGGTTCCAGGATAGCTCAGGCTACACATTGAGACACTGTCTTAAACAAAGATATCCATTTTACAGAGGAAAAAACAGAGGCCTAGAATGCTGATGAGACAGGAAGGAGAGATGGATGCCAGGAGACACAGCTGTGGGAACCCTGTCCAGGAATTCCTCTACTGTGTTTACTATGATCCTGGTCATGTGTACTGGGGAGAGAAAAGGTAAGGCCTTGGTCTCCCTGATTGCATCAGGCTTTGGTCTCCTGTAAGGCCTCTGAAGGCTGGAGAACCAGGACAATCAGATATCTCACATGCCATATGTCTCATGGTGCATGCATGTGTGCGCGCGCGTGTGTGTGTGTGTGTGTGTGTGTGTGTGTGTGTGTGTGTGTGTGTATCCATGTGTGTGTGTGCATGTTCACGAGTGCTGTTGCCCATGGAGGTGAGAGTTGTCAGATCTTTCTGGAGCTGCCCAACATGGCTTCTGGGAACCAAACCAAGGTTCTGCATGAGCAGCAAACTCCCTTACCTGCTGAGCCGTCTATCCACCTCACAAAAGAGTAGTCTATAGCTGAAGTTTTAGTCCAGACCACATTCTTCATCCCCATCCACACAGCCCTCTATTATGAGACAAGCTGTGAAGTCCCAATAAAGAATCAAGGAACAGTGGGACCTGACTGGGCAGGGTTCTGCTGAGCTTGAACTTCTCAAGAGGCTCATCTGGTCATGAGTCTTGGAGTCAAATGGGATGATGGGTGTTCATATTAGTTGATTTTCTTGTTTCTGTACCAAAATGTCTGGTAGAAAAAATGCAAGACAAGAAGGTTTATTTGGCTCATGGCTTCCGAGAGGTGTCAGTTCCTCATGGCAGGGAAGACATCAGGACTGTTCAGGGAGCAGAGGACGAGAGTGGAGGCACACAGCAAAAGTGGACCACAGGGGCCTGCCTCCAGGAGCGTGCCCTCTCCTGCCAGGCTACACATCCGAACACAGCATCCCAAGTTGAGTGTCAGATTCAAACCATACAGTAGATGTTCAGGGCAAGAAGAAAACTTCCCCTGCTCATTCCCCTCCCTGTGTCCTTGCACCTGAGAATGAGTCTCAGATCCCAAGACTAACACTAGGGCCATGCTGCACTCTGTGACTGCCTCGCTGTGGGCTTCATGGACTAGAAGTAGAGTGGACAGACAACCTGACTCAAGCTGTGGCTTGTCGTTGTATCCTTGTAGGTGATTTGAGTTAAGGCAAGGATTTGGGCTAAGGACAATCCATGGGATCCATGGATTTCTATCCTCTTTTCCAAAGGAGTGAGACAGCTGGTCTTCAGGGGGAAACAGAAGGAGGCAGAGCAAAGAGAGAGACCCGGTCCCAGATTGCATGTGGAGAAGGCAGGGCTTCCTTCCCCGCTTAGGTGCCCCTAAAGTCTGTGATTCTGAACAACAGAATTTGCTTCATTACTCAAACTGCCTGAGTGAGATTCTGTGCATTGAGGCTGAAGGGACTTTGAGGCCAGCATCTTCTCAGTCTTGTGTGTGAAATTCAGGGGTCCATAAGACAACCAATAAGCAGCTGGTGCTGGATCTGACAGACTTTGATGTTGAGGTCACCCCATCATGAGGAGAAGGCCTCTGTGGGCTTTCCGGAAGGCATGGATCCTGAGGGTAGTCTAGGCATCCCTGTAAGGAGAAGGAAAGGGTGATGCCACCCGAATCATCCCCAGACAATGTAGCCATTAGAAAGAGTGTGTTGTACTAACAAGGAATGCCATGCCACTGAGTGTCAGCACAGTCCCAGCCCTGCCCCCACCACGTCGACATGGCCACATTTCTCAGCATTCCTGTAAGAATGATGCTGACACACCCCCACTGACATAGAAAGCTAAGGAAAGGAAGAGAATTTGTTTTCTGGGGACTCCACAACAAACCACCACAAGCGGGCGGGCGGGCAGGCAGGGGGGGGCCTTTAAAATGCAGCCATTTTTTTCTCCTTGGCTTGGATCTAGAATGTCCTTCAGAGAAGTTCATGTGTGGAACACTTGGTTCCCAGAACAGCAATGTTCAGAGGTGGGCCACTGAGAGTTGATTGGATAAGGAAGGCTCTAATGCCATTAATTTTACTCTACAGCTTAATGGGCCAGTCTGAGATGGGGAAGGGAGAAAGTCTGTGGGGGTGGCTTTGGAGAGTTTATTTTGCCCTTAGTCCCCTTCTCTCCCTCCCTGCTACTACCATCAAGTGTGCAGCTTTGTTCCATCAAGCTCTTGTAGCAAACAGTGCAGTCTACAGACCAGGGATTGATGACCCGGGGAGATGGCTCAGAGAGTAAAACACTTTCTGTTTAAGTCTGAGGGCCTGAGTTCAAATTCCCAGAACCCATGTAAAGCTGTGGGCAGTAGCGTGCATCTGTAATCTCAGAATTCTTGGGGCAAGATGGGAGGTGGAGACAGGAGAATGCCTGGAAGTTCACAGGCGAGCCAGCCTGGCACAGGTGAGACAAAAAAACAAAGAGACCCTGTCTCAAAATGGGGTGGAAGGCAAGGACCAGCCCTCAAGACTGTCCTCTGACTCAACATATGTGCTACAGCACACAAATGTGAGCATGCCCACACTGGAACATGAACACACACACACACACACACACACACACACACACACACACACACACACACACAAAACCATGAACGAAACTAAATCTTCCATTTTTAAAGACAGTTTTTAAATATTCATGTGTGTGAGTCTGTTAATTTGTATGTTCATGAGTCTGTGTGTGGATGCCATATGTGTAAGAGTACCCATGGAGGCCAGAAGAGGGTGTTGGATTCTCTGGAGCTGGAGTTATGGGCAACTGCCTGAGTTTGAGATCCAAACTGGAAGAGCAGCAAATGCTCTTAACTACTGAGCCATCTCTCTAGCTACTACATCAACTTCCCTCCCTCCCTCCCTCCCTCCCTTCCTCCCTCCCTCCCTCCCTTCCACCTGCCCACCTTGTTCTCAGGTACTTTGCCACAGCAAAGGAAACATGACTAATACTCAGTTCTAGAGGTCCAAAGCCTGAAATCAAGATGTCACCAGGGCTCCACTTCCTCCAAAGATATGGTGGACAATCTCTTCACTTATCCTGATGGCACAAGCATCCCTTGGTTTGTGGATGGATGACTTCAGTCTCTTAGCATCTTCACATTGTCTTGTCTCTCATAAGAAGGTCTGTGATTGGCCCACCTGGTTTTATTTGGGATTTGTTCAATTAGTTCTATCTATAAAGCTCTCCTTTCCAAATACTGACTCTTTTCACAAATTTTGAGGCCTAGTATATTTATTTTGCAGGGGATTAGCACAGAGCTCACTAGAGGGAGGTTGTCTGATTTTCCTCTACACACAGCAAGCTGTGTTGGGATGAATGTAGAACCGGTCCAAGTGTGACCGCCATGTTTTCTGAACACGACAGGTTCATACGGAAGGATGTAGGATTAAGGGTGGTGTAGAAGAGGAAGAAAGAGCCTTCCCACTCAGCGTATTCCATCTTGCTTTGGAGAATACAGGTGTCATTATTTTAATCCTGGATCTCTGACTTTTAAGGAGAAGCCAGCATGGGGATTGTGGGCATTCCTCCCCAAGCTGTCCTTCGGTTCCCACATATCGCCCCATGACCCGTTGTTTGCTGTCTTAAGAAATGTACAGATGGTAGTGGGCATGCTGCCAGAACTCTGGGTTCTGAAGGGAGTCACCAATGGTGACGGGATTAGCTGCTCTGGGAGGGTATTCTCTTCAGGGATGATCAGAGGTAAGGGTTGAGAGAAGGGAGTGGAGCTCTGGCCCTCAGCTGGCATTAGGAAGGACATACTCTTTCTGGCAGTCCTGCAGGTGTCAGCCTGGTGACCCTTGAAGTGCTGAGGGGATGAGGACCCAGGAAGCCCACCCCCACTGTTTTCATTTCCCCAGAACTCCATGGCTGATTTTGTGGATGCTGTGCTCTGTCAACCCAGACACCCCAGTCCCTCTGCAGAACCCACTGGGCTTCCATTCCCTGCTTCTTTGCCTGCTTCTATTTGATACACAGAGTCCAGGAAGAACCTCCTCCTCAAGACGTTCCCCACCGACTGCCCCAAACTGCTCCTTCCTCTCTCCCCACTCCCGCCCTTGCTGTCGACTCTCACCCCTTCTGCTTGGTTCATAAACTAAGAAAATGCACTTTTCTACCCAACCTGGAGCGAATCTGTAAGTGACATAGAAAGTTCAGTTCAACACTAGCGAAAATTGAATTTATCTTGGAAATGCTTTATTCTTCCAAAAGCTCACTTTGGCAAAGTCTAATGTATAGAAAAGCATGAAATACGGTGCCTCCAGACGCAGCAACTTCTTCAGCTACACATTAAGCCGCAGGGTCCGAATCCAGCTTCGCTGTCGTCAACCACTCTCTTTAACTCAAATGCCCGTCAATGTCCCTGCTAAATGGGAGTCTTGTGTGCATCGCATCTTATCATAATGTCACAAAACCCATAGAATTACAAATCAGGTTTAAGGCGGAAAACATGACAGGGAAATAAAAGTACACAAAAAGTACATTAAGTATCAGTCTTCATTTATTCTCCCCATTCCAGCCTACCTCTCAGCTCAGCCCCACGCTGCACGCAGCTCAGCTTGAGGTAGCCTAAGATCCATTTTAGAGTGGACTGAAATATAAATGACAGTTCGCTCTGCACATGAACATAGACAACTGTATAAAATATTTAAATAAAGACAGGAAAGAACAGAGGATTGCCACGAAGCCTTTGGCAGACTCAGCCTTGGGGGAATTTAGCAGCTTGAGATTCATTACAAATTTCGTCTTTAATGTTATTTTTAGTTCAATATTTTGTAGCACTCAGAAGTAAATCTTGGTGTGCTGTCTCCTCTTCCCCTGGCTTCCTCTTCTTTGGTGTCTGATCCTTCAGTTTTACTGAACCCTAATACGGTTTCAATAAAATTGATTTGTGACGTCGTAATGCTGTTTGTTACGGGCTCCTCTTTCTTGATGTAATGGGGGGAGGTCTGTTGTATGATTCGGCAGAGTGAGGAGGATCGCTCTTGATTGGAGAATAAATTGTCATGAACCAAGAAACAGCCTGCTTCAATGTGAACTCTCCATCTCTCTGTCCCTCCTGCGGTCTCCCATCTTGAATTTCTGGCCTTGTGTTATGGCCCCAAATGCATCATCTGTCCCCTCTGAAGAGAGCTGTCACCCAAAATAAAGACTCCAAGAAGACAAAGAGACTTGGGCTTTGAAATAACTACTGTTTAGTCACTCTCTCAACATGGATCTCTACCTGGAGACCTCCGGCTAGTTTGTAATGTCCAGATGAAATTCTCAAAAAGGGACCTCACCCCAAACCAGAGGTGGAGAGGACCAGTCACTTGGCAGTTCTGTCCTGGGTCATTTGCAGGCTCTTTGGTCTCCCAGGGAGGCTGCGGTGTCAGATGATGCCTGCCAGGAAAACAGATGGTCAGGTGGGAAGGGAAAGAGCAAAGGTTGGTTCCCTGCCCGCCGGGTTCCCAGAAAGACATTCATCCATGGACTGAATGTGTCTGAGGAGGAGGCAGAGCCTAGAGAGTTCCTAATGGTTTTCATTGACAGGAAAGTCTTATTAGTGATATTGGGCGGGGGTGGATCCTGGCTGGAGGAGGTGACAGAAGAGAAACAGGACTCAGATTGGAGTTCAGAACAACCGCAGAAATGGATATTTCAGGGCTGGAGAGACAGCTCGGTGTTTAAGAGCACTTGTTACTCTTGCAGAGGACACAGGTTGGGGGAGAGAGAGAGAGAGAGAGAGAGAGAGAGAGAGAGAGAGAGAGAGAGAGAGAGAGAGAGAGAGAGAGAGAGAGAGCAGACAGGTATTACACCCAGACACATAAATTTAAAGAAAGGATATTAATCCCAAATACTGGGTTGCCCATGTTTCCCAGAGAGATTTCACAGGTGGCCTAGTTTGCTTTTTTGTTGCTGTGATAAAGACTGTGACCAAGACAGACTTGGAGAAGAAAGGATTAATCTGTTTTACATGTCCCAGTTACCAACTGGGGACATAACTGAAGGAAGTCTGTCATAGTCAGTGTTGTACTGATGTGAAGAGACATCATGACCTCAGCAACTCTCTCTCTCTTTTTGTTCCCCACTGTGGCTGATATATTGTGCACCTCAATAAACTTATCTGGGGGTCAGAGAACAGAACAGCCATAATATTAACCATAGAGGTTAGGCAGTGGTAACACACGCTTTTAATACTATCACTTGGGAGGCAGAGATCCATCCGGATTTCTCTGAGTTTAAAGCCACACTGGAAACAGCCAGGCATGGTGACTAACACCCTTAATCCCAGAAAGTGAGCCTTTAATCCCAGGAAGTGATGGCAGTAAGCAAAAAGGTATTTAAGGCATGAGGATGAGGAACTAGAACCTGGTTAAGCTTTCAGGCTTTTAGCAGCAGTTCAGCTGAGATCCATTTGGATAAAGACACAAAGTCTTCCATTCTGAGGAAACAGGATCAGCTGAGGAATTGGCGAGGTGAGGAAGCTGTGGCTTGTTCTGCTTCTCCGATCTTCCAGCATTCACCCTAATACTTGGTCCAGGTTTGTTTTTATTAATAAGACCTCCTAAAAATTCCTGCTACACCCCACTCCACTTACTATGATGTCTTTTTTTAATTACTATTTAACATGATTTCTTTATTGAATCTTTGGGAATTTCACATCATGCACCCTAATTCCACTCACCTCCCAGTCCCTCCATATTCTCCCCTCACCCCTGCATCACTCCCAAAAGAAAATTTTAAAAAATCAAATCAAATCAAAACAAAACAAGCAAGCAAACAAACACAAAAAGAAACACACACACACACACACACACACACACACACACACATACACACACACACACACACACACAGACCTCTTAGCTCCTCCATCTTTCTCTCCTCTCCAACACCTCTTCATTCATCCTGGTGGCATTGGGAGTGGTGTGTCACACAGTAAACATTTTATCCAATCAGCTTTACTAGCAAATGTTCATTGTAATGAGTCATTGGTCTGGTTCAAGGTCTCTGATTTCTGGCACACCAGCATCACTGGATCCTCACCAGAACTCCTCAGGGATGTTGCGGAGGCCCACAAAGGTTTCCTAGTGAGATCTGAGCTTGTTTTACCCAGCAGGGCTGCATTAGAGGATTGTTTGACCAGAGGTGTGGTTACCAGGTGATTGGAAGGGTCTACACTTGGCTGTGCTAGGGGGACATCTTTTGCTCCACCCCTTGGCATTCCTATAAAAAAGTCCTTTAGAAGAGACAGAAGGGGCCAGTGGATAAGGATCCAGGCCCTCCTGAGGCTATCCTGTGTTTCTGTTTCTCTCCCCTCTATCCTTCTATCTAAATATTTCTCCCTCCTCCCTCCTCAAGAGTACCCTGGGGAAAAAGTGGGAGCAGGTCTCCCACAGAGAAATGGGTAGGCCTCTCAAAAGGATATTCTGAAGTCACTGCAGTGGAAAGATACCCACAGGACCAGTCCCTTCACAAGCTCCAGCAGGTCCTCGATGGGATAGTTGGGATAGAGTGAGCCAATCCCAGGCCCAGCTGTGGGCCTGGGTGGTAGTTGAGACACTGCCCTTCCCCCTGCCCTGGGCAAGGGGCAGAGCCAGCTCCTCTATGCCCATGACCACAGCAACCCTTATAAAAGAAAGCATTTAACTGAGAGCTGGCTTAAAGTTTCAGAGGTTTAGTCCATTATCACCATGGAGGGACACAGGCAGACACGGTGCTAGAGAAGGAGCTAAGAGCTACATCCTGATCCACTAGCTGAAAGAGAGACTCTGGGCTTGGCATGGGCTTTTGAAAGCTCACAGCCCACCCCAGTGAAGTGACACACTTCCTCCAAGCAGGCCACAGCTCCTAATCCTTCTCAAATAGCGCCACTCTGTGGTGATGAAGCATTCAAATCTGTGAGCCTATGGGGGTATTCTTTCTCAAACCTACACAAAGTCTGGGCAGGAACTCATTCAGGGCATGAACCTGGTGGCAGGAACTGAAACAGAGGCCTTGGAGGAACACTACTCACTGGCTTACTCCTCATGTGTCACTCATGCTGCTTCTTATACAACTCAGGACCACCTGCCCAGGAGTCCTCCACTCAGATGTCAACAGGATGACCAGGAGTTTAAGGTTAGCTTGGTCTACATACTGAGACTATTTCAAAAGACAAGCAAATAAATGGCCCAGAGCCCCTCCCACTTTGTAGGGTTTCTGAGAAAACAGCCTCTTTTGACATTAAGGCTATGTTTATACATATACAATATAAAGGAAGGAGCAACAGAATAAGATTGATTATCTAGAATATACATAATCAAAAAGCCTAATATACTTAATATGTTTTGAGACAAAAAACCCTTGGCTATTCTAGTATTTGGAGAAAGCAGGTAATTCATGCTTAGGTTGGTGACTATTACTGCTATCTAATGTTTATAACTTATCTAAATAAATACTTTCCAGGATGTCCTGTTACAGAAACTTCAATATGCATAGGCAGGAGGGAGCAGAGTTCCCCTGGGCCATGTCTTAGGTCTAGTTCCTTTAAAGGAGAATCAAGATGGGGGTCGGTATGTAAGCTATGGAAATAGTGCATCATCTGGAAGCTGTTGGCAAAAAGGAAGCTGAAGAGGTCCAAGGAAGAAATCAGGTGAACATAGGGATTACTGATACCCCAGTATCAGTAGTATCAGTACTCTCCATAGACGTAGAACAAATGGGCTATCTAGACATTGACACAGGAGAGCAAGCAGGATGGGAAACCATGGTGAACATGGTTAGATTGAGAAGTACCTAGGGAATGGTGAAGCATGCTCCTGGGTGTGTTTAGGAGGTGCTTCCAGGGATGAATAGCCAAGGGAGAAGGACCACCCAGAATGTGGGGGAACCATCCCACAGGCTTAGGGACTGAATAGAGTAAAACCAGGGAAGGGAGATAGACAGTGTTGGCTGTTTCTCTGTCCTTCCATCTGCCTGTCTGTCTGTCTTAGTTAGAGTTACTATCACTCTGATCAAACACCATGACCAAAAGCAAGTTGAGGAGGAAAGCGTTTATTTGGCTTACACTTCCACATTGTAGTTCATCACTGATAGAAACAGGGCAGGAGCCTAGAGGCAGGAGCTGATGCAGAGGCCATGGAGGTATGCTGCTTACTGGCTTACTCCTCATGGTTTGCTCAGCCTGTTTTTTTTATAGAACCCAGGACCACCAGCTCAGGGACAGCACCACCCACCATGAGCTGGGCCCTCCCCCATCAATCATTAATTTAAGAAAATGCTCTACAGCCAGATATTAATGGAGGCAAATTTTCAACTGCAGTTCTCTTCTTTAAGATAACTCTGGCTTGTGTCAAGTTGACATAAAACTAGCCAGAACACACAATACTCTCTCTGTCTGTCTGCATCTGTCTGTCTGTCTGTCTGTCTCTCTCTCTCATCTCTTTTTCTTGGTTGCCATGTTGTAAACTGTTTTGTTCCTATCTGCCCTCCCTACTACAATGGGCTGAACTTTTTGAAGCCATGAGCCAAAATAAACCCCTACTCCATTGTTTATTTCAGGTGTTTCTGTCACACACACACAAAAGCAACTTAGGGAATTTATTAGGCTGATTGGTTCACATGACCATTGAGGCTGACAAATACCCCAATATGTCATCTGGAAGCTGGGAACCCTGAGATGGTAGCATGGCTCAGTGCAGGTCCAAAAGTATGAGATTCCCCAGGCTAGAATGCACCCTGGTGCAAGTCACACAATTCAAAGGCCAGTGGAGCTGGAGTTTTGGTGTCCAGAGGTGAGAAAAGCATGAATCACAGCTCCAGGAGAGACAGACCAGCTGGCTTTTCCTCTTGGATGTCTGTGTGTCGTGTGTGTGTGTGTGTGTGTGTGTGTGTGTGTGTGTGTGTGTGTCCTCATATGTGAAAGTGCCGTGGTGCACATGCAGCAGTCAGGCAAACTTGGGTGTCAGTTCTCTCCTCCCACCTTGTTTTGAAGCAGGGTCTCTCGTTTACCACATAGACACTAGCTAGCAATCCCACATGCTCCTGGAGATATTTCCCTGTCTGCCACTTCCTCACAGGTATTATAAAGATATCCTACCA